GAAGCCGCGATCCACGGAGCCAGCACCCTTGGCCCGGTAATCGCAGTGCTGGAGCAGATCCTGTTGCTCCAGGGGTGCTCGGCTTGAGGGATTCAAAGGAAATTCTTACTGAACTTGGGAGCATTTACGGCTTCAAGGGTCTATCGGAGAGAGCGCAGCATGATATGCTGTCAGCAAGCATCCTCCACTCTGCTGGGATAGTTTCCTCCTTCGGCTCCCTTTGAGTTATGGGCACCTTCATAGCATCACAGGTCGGAGTCCGGGCTTCTGGGAGTCGTTCTTCATCCTGCTTTGCCTTTGAGTACTTTAAGGATCAAGGGACTTAGTAACTAAGGTTGTAGGTTGTAATTGGGGTAACTAGTATAACCCCAATTAAGGTAATTATGAATTATGACCTTACTTACTAAGTCCCATGATCCTCCAAGTATGCAGCTTGCCAAAGTGTGTCAGCGGTCGGCTACATGCTGGCCCAAATTCCTGCACATCGAAGCGAACTCCCGCCTGAACTCTCTACTAAGGGACTTGCTCACAGGACCCGTCCTCGGCCACCGTAGCACTGATCTTGGATGCCACCATCCTGAAGATTGCCACAAGAGTGTGAGAGACTATCAGGCCATATGTCGAAGAGATCCCTTCCATAAGAGAGCCTGGAACTGGCTATCACGGATCACAACCGGCGACTATGACTAGAACACGACCGGCGACTCGAACAGGCCGATGGCAGGTCGACGGTGCCCCTAGCGCGAAACTCCCGGAAACTCCGATCAGAGCACGGCGATCCACTCGCAATGAATGCAACTCCCGCCTATCCAGGAGCTCCTTCCGCTCCGCATCGTTGGCATAGCAAAGCCCCGTAAAGCCGAACCTGAACTGCAGAAGCAGGTGTGGGCTCCAATGTTTTCTCCCCCAGCCTGAATATCGCTACCGGTATTTTTTGGTTTATGGGTTAAGTTTTTAGTGTGTAGGGCTTCGGGGGCTGCTGCTGGTACTGGTACTGCTGATGATTCGGGTGATGAGGAAGCTCGCATGCCGACATGATTGTTGCCATCATCTCCAAAAAACGAAGACGATGGAACTGTTGACAAGAATAATTGAGCAGGAAGAAGACAAAATCAATCAAACTGTCCCGGCAACGGCAGAATCAGCTTGTCTCGACTGCCAGAGGTGACTGAAACCTGCAGAAGAGAAGCGATAGCTCATAGGCTGGGGATGCCGCTCTGCGCCGTACCAGATCTCTGGGATGCCACGCCAAGTAAGGCTCCACGCCTCAGCCGATCTCGCTGTAAGAAACGGCTCTTAGAGTTAGAGCCTTGCGAAGCAGCCGATACTCGCCGAAGCTACGGCCAATACAACTCCGAAAGCTGCCTCTCGCCTCTCGCGTTCCACAGTCAGCCGGTCAACCCTAAGGCCACCACCAGCGAGATGACGATGCCTGGGCTGAGGCTCAGGGATGCAGTCGCTTTTCGGATTGGCGAAGCTTTCGGGGCATTTGGGCCGTTGCGAAACTAGAGCTTGCTTAACATAAAATCTCGTCACTTCGGTCCGACTGAACTTGCGATCTGTCATGTCATGTCACTCTTTTGCATCTTCAGATCTGCCAAAGTGCGATCAATTCAACAATCTAGCCACGGGTTCTTTCAATGCTAAACCGCACCAAAAGCCTAGCCCTTGCGGCAAAGCAAGCGTTTTATCAGTGGCTGCATGCAGGCTGCGCCAGGAGTGGAGATCATCTTCTGTGGGCTGCGTGCTCACCGACAGTAAGCGCGGCCTCACGTCTGCAAAAGTGCAAATATATGCAAATGTCTACACAACACTTTCGCGCAAAGACTGTCGCATGGCTCCTGGAGAAAATTATATACAGATGGCACAAACTACTACTGCTGCTATCTAGACTGCTGCGTTCTTAGTAGCAGGCTTGAGGGTTTTAACGCGGCATCTGCAGCTGAAAGAACCCCGAATCATTCCTAGAGCAGCCACTGCAGCTGCTAGAGTAGCAGAGAGGGACGAATGCCAAGGATTCTGTGTATCAAGAGACTTCAGGTCCTGAAAATTATACAATGCATCTACATAAGGATACATACATACATGCATGCATATATATATATATATACCTACCTACATACATACATACATGTGCATGTGCGTACTTACATGGAAAAGTAAACATATATACATATATATATATATATATGTGTGTGTGTGTATTTGCTTGTACGCATAAGATATGTGTATGTCTTTTGTTTACTTATATATATATATATATATATATATATATATATGCTCCCCCCCCCCCCCCCGGTTGACAGACCATGCCCTTGTGATAGTGTACTCTCGTTCGGTGACTAGGCTGAGATATTGCATCTAAACACACCACACATGACGACAATCTGTAAAGCAAATCCTTTACAGTACATATACCAAGTATACTTTTAACATGCCATGTACTGAGGACGCATGGACCAGATGTGCGACACGTGAGTTATGAGTTTTGTGGTAGCATTGATATAGGATGAGTATGAGTATTAATATTGGTATTAGTATTAGTATCAGCAATAGTATTAGTGTTTACTGTAAGTATGTATATATATATATGTATATATCGACAGTAGTAAGTATATCGACAGTAGTAAGTATACATTAATGTTAGTGCTCATCTTCGTTTTAGTCTTAGTGTTAGTGCCAGTGTCAATGCCAGTAATAGTACCACTGCTAGTATTAGTATCAGTCTTCATGCTGGGTTTAATATCAGTTAATAATGGCAGAGGTGCTAGTATTGGTATCAAAATTAGAGTTAGTTTCGATATGTTACTATTCTGACAGTTTCGTATATCAGCAGGTTAGTATATCACACATTGATGTGTTCGAGAGGCAACATATTTGTATACTTGCATATTCGTAGATTTAATACTTTAGTACAACTGATGCATGAGTAAACTAGTATATTGCTGTATTGATATATTAGTATATTAACATACCAGCATATTCGTACATTAGTGTATTAGTATACTAGTATATGCAATATACGTGTATTGTCTAAAGATTTATAAGTGTATCAGTATGTTGTCATATTAGTACACTAACCTGCCACGTCGGTATACTTGCATATTACAGTAGTCGCATACTAGTATAGTAGCATACTAGTATAATAGCATGCTAGTATAGTATATTCACACATTAACAAGTAGTGTATTGTTACATTGGTATATGGGTATATGCTTGTCCTAAAACATCAGTACATGAATGCATTGATACATATCGGCATTTTAAGTTAATGGTCTGTGTTCTGGTGTGCATTAGCATATGCACGTGTCTTTTGTAATTGTACTAGTCTTCACATCAATATGAATATGACTATTGGTATTCGTAGGAGTATTAATGTTAATATTCGTATTAGGATTATCCATAGTCGCATTAGCCTTAGTATAAGTGTTAATAATGGTATTAATACTGGCATTATCTTGAGTATTCAGCAAGTTATCAATGTCAGTATTAGTATTGGTGACAGCATTACTGTTAACAGCATAAGAGTATACGCAGTAGTATCCGTAGGAGTATCAATACTTATGTAAATCTTGGTGTTGGTATAAACAGTGTGATTGGTATTAGTAATAGTGCTAGTGCGAGTGCTAATATTAAAATGAGGTTATGTATTCGCATGAACGTTTGTCTTATATTAGTATTACTCCTGATTACATGAAAATACTAACAGATAAATACATGCATGAGCTAATGTATTTGTACTTTAATATAGTGGTATGTATATTTATGTACATTGGTATATGCAGGTGTGTATTAGTATTGGAATTAAAATACACTACTAGCAATATGGGCATAATTATTGATATGCGTAGGAGTATGAACGTCAGTATTAATCATTATTAGTATTTGTTATTTGTATGGTGCCTATTCGCATTGGCTTAAAAAAGTGTAAATATTAGTGTTAATGCTGGTATTAGCTTGGGCAGTCAGCAAATGATCAATGTCAGAATGAGTATTGGTAATAGTATTCGTAGGAGTACCAATTTAGAAAAATTGATAAACACTGACAATCGTCTAAACAGACCTTGCCTTTGCAAGTGAGTCGTAGTGCATGGTCTGTCATCCGATGGGTCACAATCAGCCCATTGAAAATCAATTCCAGAAGTTCCAAAATTTCCAAAATTTCCAAAATTTCCAAAATCTCCGAAATCTCCGAAATTTCCAAAATTTCCAAAATTTCCAAAAATTCCAAAAAATTCCAAAATTTCCAAAATTTCCAAAAAAATCCAAAATTTCCAAAATTTCCAAAACGGCCCGACCTATAGTCGACAGGATTTTTCCAAAACATAAGGGCGGACTTTTTGGAAATGTTGGAAATTTTGGAAATTTCGGAAATTTCGAAAATTTTGGAGATTTCGGAAATTTTGGAAATTTTGGAAATTTTGGAATTTTTGGAAATTTTGGAAATTTTGGAAATCCGGAAAGTTAGGGGAGAGAATTTTGGAAATTTTGGAAATGAGTTTTTGAAAGCTGAGTGCCACCTCCCGCCGATCACAGACCATGCGCTACGACTGAGTTGAAAGGGCATGGTCTGTCAACGGGTCTCAGTCTTTTGGTGGTTCCACAGATACGTTCGGAGGGCTCAAACTCGATACCCCGGAAAAAGCACGAACACGCCGGTGGGAGCGATGTTTTGAAGGGGATGGTCTGTCATGGGGGGGGGTGACCATATATATATATATATATATATATATATATATGCATTTTACATATACAGAAACATGTACATACATATGTATATATATATATACATATGTACATCTATACATAGATACATAGATACTTAGATACATATATATATACACACATACACAAGTGTATGCAGGCAGATATGCACGCACACACACATCGGTATGTATGCAAGTGTGTATATATGATTGTATGTATGCACATACTTTACATGTAGATGTACCCGTATAAAGCTATTGCGAGCATCTGGAACGGCATGAGATACTCTGAGGTTAAGGCAGCTGGTATGATTCTGCTGCTGTCCAGGCTGACCTGTCGTGCTCGCACCGTGCCAACTTCGCACCGGTGCACTGCAAGGCAAAGCGCAACCCATGCCTCACGTCGGCAACATTGGAGATGTCCCGCTGCACCTGGCGAAGGAAAGCAGCGGGCCCTTTCAATGCTGCTGTCTACACTAAGACAAAGAAAAATCATATTATTGATAATTCTACTTGAGCTGTTATTTATAGTATTAATGATGATATTATTAGTATTAATATTAATAGAGGACCACCAGTCCACAGGAGCCCTTGAATCTGAGATTCCTGGCCTCCTGAGCCTTGAGATAGATCTGGCTTTGGAAGAACTCCGTCGGAGGGATCTTGGAGCTGGTGACCTTGGCAAAGCGAAGCTTTGCTGAAGCCCAGGGCCCTGCTTCCGGGAGTAGAATCATACATTTTTGTTTTTGCTATTATTATTATTGCTATTATTATTATTGCTGTTATTATTGTTATTATTATTAATATGAACGATACTGTTACTATTGTTATTATGATACTATTACAACTGTTATTGGTATTCTTATTCGTATTACTTATACTATTATCGTTCGCTTGAGGATGCTAGCATGGAGCTGCGTGGCCAGAGAGTTCGGAGAACTGCTTATGTCTCGGGAATTCAAGTCTCAATCGTTTCAGGTGATGCTTTGATGCACTTCAGCTGCTTCTGCGAACTGCAACGAGAATGCCCATGAATGCAAGACGTACCGAGCAAGAAGCAACTACTCGCAACGGAAAGCTATTCTTTCCAGCCGGCTTGGAGCAGAGCCGAGCGTAAGTGTGCAACTTCGGCTGTCGGGTACGCTGCCATCAAGCCTGACAAAGGGACTGGAGCACCGGTCAAGAAGAGGCCCTGGGCTGTCATGGCCAATGGAGATGGTGCTGGCGGCGGCTGCGGTGGCGATGGGGGTGCTGGTGGCGATGCTGACAACCCTGATGAAGGGAAGGAGGAGGAGGAGAAGGTGGAAGAGGGGAATGACGATGACGATAGCATTTGTTGGGATGATTCTTGTGTCTAGTATCACCATCCTCCTTGTTACTATCCTTGGCATTCCTACTCAATACCATCTCGTTCATACGTTCGCAAACATCAGCTAGCCGTACCTGTTGCTGCTGTTGCTGTTTACATGTCAGTCTTGCGTTTGCTCTACAGAGTCGAAATATCCCAAACCCAAAGCCCCCCCAGAACCCACATCAAAGCCGCCACCGAAGCCCAGATCCTTGGCAAAGCTTCCTAAGGCTGTCCTGGAGCCGCTGGTCGCAAGCCGGAGAAGTATGGACATAGCTCCTGGCAGCGCCCGGCGACAGCCATGATGTCAGCAAGGATGCTCTTTCGTAAGAACAATGCATACAGAAACTGCTCGGGGCAGTCGCAGCACAGCCTGCTTTTTCGTCTCTTGGGCTTCGGGCTCCGGGCAGTCTGCGCAGTCACTGCACCATGTCAAGACGGACAGACGGAATTCAACCGGGGAACGCTATCGATGTCTCGTATACGCAAGTAGCAGCTGCTTCCCAGAAGTTGAAGGCGATGCTGCAGCGAACATGTGGGCGGTTGTCAAAGTCTGGTCCACCCTGAATACTAGGTGCCGTACTATATTAGGGACTCAAAGAGGGACCATCACTTTGACAACCACCCATGTGGTTTCATGCCTGACAGGGTTGGACTGGCGAGTGGTAGCAGTGACTAAACCCCGGACTGAGACCTCTCCGGCTAAACCCTTTTCCGCGAAGCCTAAACTGACATACATACACCCCTCCCTGGACCGCGACTCGACCCAAACCCAACAACGGAAAAGTAATAACAAATAACAAAACAAATAAACAACACCAAAATGTTGAGACCTAAATTTCGTGCACCAGAAACCTGCACCCGAAACCTTAAACCCCTTAGAGATCTAAACCTGAAATTGCAGAACCTCACGGAACCTAAACCCTAAACCCCAACCCCAAACGCAACAACCTGAAAGCCCGGGGCAGGTCCTCCCTCGCCCGCTTCAACTGATAAGGCCTTCGGCGCAAAAGCCAGGGTTTTGGGTTTTAGGGATCTTTTTTTTAAGGTGCAGTAGCACCCCCTTGTTTAGGGTTGAGGGTTTTAGCGTGTTTGGGGAAGCTCTTTCCCTGCCACATATCGTCAGAAATGGCGTTGCCGCTGCTTAGGGCTTAAGGTCCAGGGTTAAGGTCCTCTTGGGCAAAGTTTAGGGTTTAGGGTTTCGGTTGGTGATGGCTGAGGGGTTTGGGTATGTTTATTGGGTATGTTTAGGGCTTCTTGGCGCTTATTGCTTAAGGTTCTGTGGCATATCGGAGGGCTCGGACCCCTTAAAGCATGTTGCCTCGATGCCGGGTATCCCACATGTACCACAAGCCCTAAGTCCCATGGCATCAGTTTCGGCTTGACCGGTTTGGCAAAAGTCGGGTTTAGGGCCGACCAGTGACGCTTCTGTCATATAGGATAAGCTTTGTTCGGAATGCCTAAGCTCTTTAGGTGTACACATTGGGAGGAACCAGTCCACTTCACGGCTTCACGCTTCGGAATGTACATTGCCCTTCAAGTGATGTAAGGATGGGGGCATGGATGTGCTGCCGTCGCGGAAGAGATGATGCTGCTGCTGCTGGTGATGATGATGATGATGATGATGAGGATCATGATGATGGCGGTGATGATGGTCCTGCTCATGCATCATCACCGCCATCATCATCAACATCATCATCACAACCAGAATCATCATCACTGACATGCTCAACATCATGGGATCATCATCGGCTGCAGCATCCTTGTCCCTACCATACTCCTGACCTTTGTCGCCTCGGGACTTCAAAGCCGTGAACCTTGGCTTCCCAAAGGCGGGCCTGTAGCAGCCAAAACTAAACCCCTAAACCGTGAAGCCTTCACTTCCACGCCCCTTGGTGTAAGCTCGGGACAATCTCTGTGGCGGTGCTCCAGACATCGTACCCACGTGCTGGAGGCCAAAGGGCCTCGGCTTTGCTTTGTTTTGGGGAGTTAGGTTTGGGCTGGGGTCGGGGTTTAGGGATTTCTCGGGTTCAGGGGCCACGATTCGGGCTCTCTCATCAGATTGTGACTTCGCTGATGACTCAGACACGACAGGATCACGTCATAAGGATTTGGACTTGGGTTTGGGGGGTTCTAAGGTTGAGCAGCTCGGCCCGGATCCTCTCTGCAGCCCACGCTGCTGATCGCTGAGATCAACTTCCCCGATCATGAAGAACTGCTCTTTCCCCAGCTTGGTTGCATACCGCCTCAGGAAGTCACGGACGCAGCTTGCTTGATGCTTCGCGCTTCCGCTCTTCTTACCTTCCCATCAGCTTACACATTTGGAGCAGACATGTCATCCCTACTTTCACGGCCTGAGATGTGTGGACAGGTAGGCCGTGAAGTCTGCGGACATGAAACCCACAGAGGACCTCAGCTGCAGAAGGCTGCTAGGGCTTAGAGGCTGAAATGTAGCAGTCTACATGGCCAGACTTTGATGCCAGCACGGCCTCCGTATCAGAAAGTCGTAACAGAGGCTCTCGGAATGTAATGGCACAAGACAACTAGTGGCGCACTCAACTGTCCACGTCGCGTTCAGTAAAGGCTTGGATCGCGGAGGTTCAACCGGATCCGGGTAGGGCTACAACCGGACAGGGGTGCGTTTGAAGCTGAGCTAAGAGGTCATCTTTAGATGTCAACATCCGGACTTATCGTCATCTGGGCATCGGTACCGGTCCTTCTCATCATGATTGAAATATTGCACGGGCAAGCCTTCGCAGCCTCCTAAGCCTTGCCCGTGCCAAGCTTTTCGGGGTCTTTCTAAGCTGTGCTGCTTCGTATCTCAGCCCAGGACAGGCGGAGCCCATCGATGTCGGCATAAGCGATCCAATACTTTAGCAAGTTTGTGGTGACCTGCCCCGTGCGAACAGAGATGCTGCAAGCGAACAGAGCGGATGCAAACAAAATCGACCGCCTGCTGGAAAGATGGGTTCATAGTATCCTGACGCAGCAAGGACTCAGGATGTGGACGCGACTGCAAATCTACAGCTTCGGGAGCCCCTCCTTCGTCAGGCCTCAACCCGATAAACCTGAGCTGCTCAGGCTCGAGCAAACTCGATGAGCTCGTCGCCCAAGAAGTCCGTCCAGAGGACCCCGGCCTCCCAAACGGCTAAAACCCTCCCAGGCTGCTACTCCAAACTAGGTGTGTACCCGGTTGGAGCTTGAAGGATCTCTACTTCGGAGCTGCTACCGAAACTCTCTTTTCTTTCATGGCTTGGCTTTGAGACCACGATGCTTAACGCGAGTTTGCTCAGGCTGCGACGCAGCATGAAATGGGTCCAGCACGGCAAGATCAGCTTGCTCGGAGAGAGAAGTTTGGTGTGAGACATGTGCGAGGCTATAGTCTCTATAGCCTCGAGAGAATGGCTCAAGCTGAGCAAGTTTGCATGGCCTGCTGCACCTCTAGCGTAACCCTACACCGCAAGATACCGCAAGCCTAGAGAAGCATGTCTTCTTCCAAGTTCGTCAAGCAAACTTGCATCTTGGACCACACAGTGCATCGATATCACCGATGCAAAGGAGCTCTGCAGTCAAACCACTCGCCACTTTGTGGCTTCATTCAGAGTAGGAGACCCGCAAATTTCGAAAGCCCACATCGTATGCAAAGCAATTTCATGCTCCAATATCGCCGCAGGCCGATATTTCGTTCGTACGTACATACATATGTGCCTACGTACGTACATACATACACACATACTATATCAGCTATGTCGCGCAGAGATCGTGGGTGTACATGTTCGTAGTTGCGCATTGAAGGCATCTGCAAACGCGTGGGTGTCGGAGTGCTCAAGGGTAAGCTCTCAGGCGAGGGCCCGCGCACGAGGCCGCTGAGGTACCATGCTTTCTCAGGCGAGCTGCCCTCTGTTCCCCAAGTTCGCCATTCCAGGAGTCGGAGCCATGGTTCCCACCCTTGCACCGTAGCCTGCCATGGTCTGCGCAGGAGATGCACCTAGCAACCGGGGAACCACTTCGACTCAGATGAACAGAGAAGCAAAGGAGCATTAGTCTTGTTGGCTGACGCGTGTAGGCGAGGCGCCCAAAGGCTTCTTCCCAGCAGTCCCACCCGGACTCCCCATGCTCCCCGGACTGCCGACGGACATGCCAGGAGATTGCCTGAGAGCATAGGCTGCTTTGTCTGGATTGCTGCAACCTCTGACTGCCTTCCTGCTGGTAGGGGGCGGGTTGTTCGCGCGAGGTGGCGTGTAGGGTGCGAAGGGCCCGTTCGATTTCACAGGCGCTGCCGGTGAGGGCACCACTGGTGCCTTCCAAAGGAAGGCTGACGAGTGCAGACTGCTGGGCTCACGAAGCACTCTGCCTTCGTGTATCCGACGACGGGCACGTTGAGGACCTTCATGATGTTGTCCAGCTCCGCCTCAGGAAGATGTTGCATCTGCGCTTTTGTACCCAAACCGACATTTTTGTCGTGCATCATCTCTACTCTACGAATCGCAGCAGACGTGATGATTCTCACCCTGCCTGAACAGCTGCTGCTTGATTCTGGAGCTGGGCCGACGTCATCAAGTGACCTCAGAAACGTAGACCTAGAATCGACCTTCTCCTTCTTTTTGGAGGCTCAGGAGGACGTCAGGAAAACTCCGGAATGGTTTCCGGAGTTGCTGGGGGCTTGAAGGGGTCATGTCTCCAACTCGAAACCCAGATTGCCAGGAAGTCCAAGAAGCTCTCCACCATCTGTCGGTGATCGTGGTGGACCGCGCCGTGTCCCGCATTCACGTCCTGGCTACCGAAACTGCAACTTCAGGCAGCCTCCTTCCTGTCGCCAGAAGACAACGGGCAATTCTGGAGCTCCTACGTGCCTTCCGCAAGAAATATGAGAGCTTTCAGTCTGAGCTATAGGTGCATGGCAGCGCATGCCATCCCACTAAGCTTTCTGCTGGGAGTCGAAGCTCTAGAGACTGCTCAGAGCCTTGTGCGTGTTCATGATAACGTCCATGATCTGGTTCATCTGCTCGCGCAGCGGTTCCTTGGGTTCGAGACAACTTTTTGCCTTCAGGCCTGCCCTGGTTTCTACCAGCCCACCAGCCGAGGAACATGGGCATCATGTTTTTGACCAAGTTCTGATGACTTCCTCGGCTGTCACATGCTGGGCTGACTGTCAGAGCCGGCCTGGCCTGCCAAGCCGCCCTATTAGAACAGATGTATTTTCCGCTATGTTCTCCAGCATGTTGTGATACTGCTTTTCCTCGGCGGTAGCTGGCAAGCAATCCCCGACGGACATGCGAACTTTTGTGAACGTCCCCCGCCTTTCCCAACTGAAAGGCCAGCAGGTCGGCACAGCGGGCCAACTCCCCGCGATACATCAAGATGTCCTTCCAGGCTGCGGTACTCCGCCGAGCGAGAGACGTTTAGCAGTTTAGCTACCAGGATGCTGGGTTCCGCCGAAAAGCGCGCGGTTACATAGGTGCAAAAGTCTCAACTGATCCTAGTCTGTAGAACTTCCCCGTCGAAGAGTCTACAGACCACGGCCCTGTCCTCCGACATCTCCCGCACCTCACGCTCAAACTCCAGGCAGACTGTCTCGCAAACCTAGGCCGCAAGCAGGAGCTTCCACAGCTAGGGGGTTTAGGGTTCATGACCAGATCTCGCAAGGAAGCATCAGCCATGAACTTGCGGAAGGCGTTGGCGCGGGGTGCGACGTGATCCATGGCTTCCTTTCAGGATGAGACCAGAAAGATGCCAGTGGGCATTGCATCTTCTAAGCGGGCCTGGGTCACGGCAGCCATGACAGCAGAGGACAGCGGGAGCTAGGAGAGCTGAGGGTCTGAGCACAAATGCCTGGCCTTACACATCTACAACGCACAGAAGGCCCTCTTCCTCTTCTGCTGGGCAATCTTGCGCTTCCCGCTCTGAGGCTGAAACACAAACTTCTCGCGACAGGGCAAGCACGAGCCTCGTACTCCTCACTGTCATGGGGCTCGTTGGAGAAGTCGTGGTTGTTCGGACGGTCCCTTGCAGACGCGACGGCATGGATTCATAGCCGGAGGCAAACACATTGGGATCCTGTCATGGTGGCATGTTAGGATTCATCTATTCCAGTCAACGGACAGAAGCCTGCAGCACTGGCAACTGGATGGGCGGGTTAGAAGCCAGGGGCTGGACATCCTCTTGGGCCCGCATCGGGCGAAGAACTCCTGGGGGGGCTTCAAGGCTGCCGCCGCCGTGCTCCGTGAAACGAGTACTTCGATTTCTCCCGCCTAATGTGCGACAGGACGAGTTGCACAAACGAGGAAAACGGAATGCCCGATGAGGCTCTGCTCGATGCGCCTTACCCGCCTGCTTGTTGATAGCCCGGTCGGCGCTTGGAGCTGATTTCGCAGCAGCTTGCTGTCCGATGCGATTCATTGGGCAGACTATGCAGCCCAGGAGCCCAAAAACAAGCGAAACATCACAATGCGCCACATCTACCCAGTGTACGTTCTGAGCAAGGAAGATGAAGGATAGAAGTCCGAACTCTCAAATCAGTCCCTCAAAGCCTTGACTCGACTCCGACATGCTCTTCATGGGTCCTCAGATACGTTCCACCCGCACGAACCCCTGCAGGTAAAACCTCCGACCATCAAGTCCCTGGCACCCTAAAACCCAAAGGAAACTCAAGTCCTTAAACAATGTCAAACATGACCCTCCTGGTGGTGCAGATGCCGAGGAAGCACGCCGAAGCTCAGGGAACGCTGGTGCCTGGGACTGTTGGCGAGTGACCTACGTGTCGTCGTCGGGCAGCGGCCAGGACGGATCTGTCAATGAGGACGACACAACGTGAATTAGACTGAGTCGGATCTTCTTCTAAGCTCCAGGGCTCTGGTCAAAGCAGCGAGGCAACGCTCTTGTCTACTTCGTTTCCGTACAGCCGCCGGGCTTGGGCACCCGGCGACCGCTTTGGCTGGCCACCGCTGGTGTTGCGATAGACCTTGCAGAGGCATGTTGGATATTGGCTGCACAGTATCAAGCTTGGCTGTGATCTCTATTGCACGAGGGGCCATTCAACCATGCCTGGGATGATACTGCAAAAGGGAGCAGCTCACAGACCCTCCTGCAATAGTCGGCCTCCTCGAAAGAAGCCACACAGTTGCTCACCTGCGAGACTGGATCCAAGTGGACTGACCTGCGCAGGATTTCGGTAATTGGGAGTTTGGAACGACGGGCGTCAAAGCTAAGACCGTTTAGGCATCCAGCGACGAAAAGGGTAGTCGAGCATGATATGAGACCCATTACCTTTTGTTACCATGATCCTCAATCCAACGTCCGCGACGGGCTTCATGCCTGTACTCGAGACCGGTGGCCACTGCATGGTTCACCTGCACATCCAACCTCAGCCCCCAAGTCACGTCATGGCTTGGAACGGGACCGGCGGCCCTCAGCAAGAAGCATAAACTTGGATCCATGCACTACACGAAGGCCCAGCTGGTGGGCCTTGGATCCAAACAAAGAAGGCACAGAGGAAGACACGCCGAAGCCCAGCCTCGGCCACCAGTGCCTGCAGCAGCTTCGCGTCGCCTCGGCGGTCGCAGCCCTCTAAGACCCCCCGGGCCTAGGCCTAGAGGGCACCACATCCTAGGGCCCATGCCAAAGCCGGGATCGATCTTGGAGAGATCTGAGATTGAGTAGCCGTGGTACCTGCCGCTCGTTTTGCGCTTTTGCACCGTCCGTATGAACTCACCAACTGAGTTCCGTAAGAATCTTCCAAGTCTGTCAGGCCACTCCCCCCCGGAGTTCAGGAAGACCGGCGACCTCGGCTGCATTCCGTTTTTGCTCGTTGATGTGCTTTTCCTTGTGGAGGCGGCAAAGTGCAAAGTCTCCCGAAGAAACGCTATGCCGCTACTGTAGGTGCCATACAAAGGAGCGAGCCCAAAGCATCGGTAATACAGCCGAGCAGCTCTTCAAAACACTCTGCCAGCCCAACCCCAACCATCTCTTGAAACACTCTCTCGCCCCTGGGGCCAGTGCAGGGCCACCACCGTGGCTCCCAGGTGCTTCATGTAGCTGAGCCTGCAGGCTGTACGGACAGACCCTGTAGTTACACCTGTACCGGCAGCTGATCAACATGCAGATCCATGAGGACATGGACATGGAGGAACTGCTTCTTCTGACGGCTACTGTTGCTACAACTGTGACAACTACCTCATGTTCTACCGATCCGACTACTTCTACTGCTGCTACCGTTACTGCTACTGTTTCTGCTATTGTTACTACGGCTACTACTCCTGCTACTGTTTCTACTACTACTTCCAGTGCTTCTGATTCTACTGCTACAGTACTGCTACTGCGACAGCGACTGCTGCTGCCACTGCCACTGCTACGACGACGACTGTGATTACCACTACCGTTACCACTACGACTGCGACTGCGACTACGATTGCCCCTACGACGACGACTATGACTCGACTAAGGGAACACCGACGACGAGGACGATGACGATCGTCACCATTACGACTACCGCTACCACGACCACAACCACCACCGCAACGACACGACTACAACTAATACGGCGCGACGACGACAAGTACGATTATGGCTGTGTGCTTGGTAGCTGTCGTAGCTATTCAGAATTCAGCTGTCTCTACCTAACTCTCGGTTCAGCAGAGCTGAACTCGTGCGGGCGCACCTTCCAAGTATTCCGAGTAAGTCCCCACCTCAAAGGCAAGAATCGAAAGCAGAATTTAGTGTGCACAAATAGAAAATGCCTGTTAGGGTTTGGGGGTTTAGGCTTGACGGTTTAGGGTTTATTGCAATGCAGTAGAGGCTCCGGAGAGACCGGCAGTGTGAAAGCCGAGATGCTGGGACGACGACACTCGAAGATCAAGGCTACAGATCACGAACAGTGCAGCCACGACTGTGTACGGGTATACTCTACTTAAAGGATCAGGGGACTTAGTAACTAGGATTATACTCAGGGTAACTATACCTATAACCCCAATTAGGGTACTTATAACTTTACTTACTAAGTCCCATGATCCTCTAAGTATAGTGTACAGCCTCCACATGCTTCAATCTCGACCACGAGCTCGCAACCTCTAAGCCACGTGCCATGGCGCCACTGGTAGAGATTCCAGGGCTCCCCTGATTTCAGATCCTTGCATCGAGGTATGCTGAAGAATTAGATCGGGCACTGCAGGGTTGATGTTCTCTATGTTGTGGTGGAGAGGCTTTCTCACTCTCCCTGTCCTGCTTCTGATAGTGCGGGATGTTGTAGAGGTCGTTCGTGATATCTCCATTCGCAAACCTGTCCACCATGACGCTGTAGACCACCTGCCCCAGGTGACAAACAGGGTGTTTCTTCAGATCAAGTGCGCCCTTCGAGGCACCAGGGAGCCTCGCTGTTCCAGTCCTCCGGCGATGGCATCCGGCGCAATCCCGCTTCCCCAAACCTCGGAGAGGTTCTACGACTCCTTCTACTCCTACTGCTCCTACCTGTACCACTCCTAACCGACTCCGAGCCCTGTTACTAAGGTTCAGCAGGATTAGAGCAAGTCTGCTGTCGTCTGACGTTTATTCCCAGGCACATCGCTGCGAGGCTCAGCTGTACAGTGGCGATGCAAGCCTTTCCCAATGATTGAACCTCAAAAAAGAGCCTAACCGGAAAGGCCAATGTACAGGTGTCAGCCTTCAGCAATAACAACGAGCAAAAGGATGAGACGAACAAGCTACAAAACAAGCTCGGGAACAGGAAGCGGACAAAGAAGAAGAACAGTAACAACCACAAGCATACGAAGAAGAAGAACAAGAAGTACTGGAACCCAGATAGAGGTTGTTGTACTATTGCTCCGCATAAACACTCAGAACAATCTGCAGAGACCGTAGCAATGCAGCAACAATAAGAAGCTCTTCTGGAAAGGCCTGCGGAGGCCACGGCCCCGGACCAGCGGGCTGCTCAGAGACCCGGATGCTTCTCTGCACAAGCACGGCCACGTAGGCGCGCGGGTCGCAGCTCCGATCGCATTTACAAGTATGAAGATGGAGTTGCGACCGCTTGCGACTAAAACAGTTGTGGGGAGGACCCGGCACCAAAAAGAACAAATGAAAGGCGCGCCGCATCTCGGGGGGGAAGGAGTGGGAATAGCTGATGCGAGGCTTTCCCTCACTCGAGCTGGAAGAGGCTGGGAGATGACGCTCGAAGCCGGGCTTGATGCGAAGCCTTGGCGGACGCAGAGCCCGGAGGCTAGGCCCCAACTCGACTCTGGCTTGGACGGTTGAGGGTTTAGGGTCTAGGATTTGATTAGGGTTTAGGGTTAAACGGTTAAGGGTTTGGTCCTAACGTGAAGAAACGTACAAGGCATCGATCCCCCCAGAGGGTGTCCTCCGAGAAACTCGAACCAGCGCCGCAACCGGCTGCTGATGAATGGTGGAGGCCTCACATGCCGACTGCACATAGTCCAACCCTATCAGTAGCTACTTCAGCAGGGAACCCTTCCTTACTGTACTTCGGCGCTGTCTGCGTTGATGACACTACCTCGCTGCATTTACGACCTTGTTGCATGCGAGTAGCCATGATCAATGCCGAACGCTCTACATTCTCGATCGGGTTCATGTTGTCTTGGATCACCGTCTCTGTCACCTTGGCTAGGCGACATGGTACGAAACCCCCGCGAGTTTGCAACATTCTTTCTGGACTCCTCGGCATGTGGTGATAACTTCAGGAATGCCATCAAACAGACATGACAGGCCAACGACTTTCAACTTTAGCATCACTGGCTGACAGCATGACCCCGTCTCATACACATACGTGCCCTATAGTAAACCGCATAAAGTTGGAAATCGGATTAAGGCCAAATAGTGCTGGGATTCCCTATACCTTAAGGATTGAGGGCAATGGGTTTCCAACTTTGTGGGCTTCTACTGTAAGTCTGCGCAACAGCAACATCACGGAAGCGATCCGCATGGCAATGTCACCAACAAACTCAACTTCAGAAAAGCTCTCATCATCATCGTCATCATCACCCTCCTCGTCATCATCGTCATCGCCACCGTCAAAATCAATCGTGATGTTGCGGGTTTTGCCCGTGGTGGCTTAGTCAAGCGAAGCTGCCGTCTTGTCGAAGCAGTGCACCGCGGCAACGACCACCTGGCAAAGCGGAGCTCCGATGTAATCACACCGAAGCACCAAGGGGGCACATGGCTGCGGGATCCTAAACCCAAAGTGGCTTGAGGCCCAGCGTCCGAACAAAACAAAGCTTCCAGCCTTGGGCTTCCGGGACTGCCGGATCTGAAACCCAAGCCAGGGCACGTGGAGGCTTGCGTTCACCAAAGGAAGGGCGCCGGACTTCGTGAGCGCATCGAGGAGGTCGAAGGCCGCCTCCTTCTCCTTTGAAATGCAGAGTTTACGCAGCTGTAACGCTCGGATTCGGATTCAACGCCCTGCTTGAGCTTAGGCTATGAAGACTCAGCTCTGTTTACAAGGGAAGTGCGCCCTGGTCAAGCTGCACGTCAAACTCTGTCGGTCGCCGACCTGCTTCTGCTCATCAGCCCCGAGGGAGGTTTGGCTCGTTTGCGCCAGCAGCGCTTTCTGTGACCTGAGCAGGGTCACCGGGGAACGGACAGAGTCAAGCAGGTCCAACATTATATGAATAAGCAATTCCATCATTCCATCAGACTTGATATGACTTGATGCAACTCTCCTCGTCGCCGTGGCGAAGACTTCCTCTACGACTGGGATGGACTTCTTTTACTGCGTCGCCTGCTCCTGCTCGTGTTCTGACTGTGGCTCGAGCTTTGATGCTAGCTCATGATGCTACGTGGAGCGTGTGTGGCACTGCTGCAGCTACCGTTCACGCAGTCTCTGCCATAGGTTAAAAGCGAAATGCCGCGAAGCAGCTTTTTTTGCCAGGTATCCTGCCTTGGATCCGACATGCGAAATCTTCCAGCCATCCCGAGATTTCTGGCATTTGGCAGCACGAAGGTCATGCGTGGCAGGAGTGCGAGACACGCCTTCCCGATTCAGGATCAGGGATGATGCTGATGTAGGGCTGAATAGGTGCGGCTTCAATTCGGCTAGTTCTCCCGGAAGGCGCAACGCACCGAACCCGGAAGCACCCTTGCCTCTCACGGTGGCATGGCCCTACGGAACAAGCCACCAACTTTGAGGCACAACAATTAAGGAGAGAAAAAATAGCTTCCCTTCATCGGCCACTTTAGAACCCAAACCAGGCGAAGCCAAGCGACAGATTCAGTATAGCTGCTCGGAGAGCGCCGCCTGTTTGAAGTTTCTCAAAGCGCTGGTCCAGCTGCACGGGGAGCTGCGTGTAGTCCCTGGCACTTTAAGTGTCAAAAGCGGAGAGGCAACTACTAGAGAACAGCGGCTCGTCCTTTTTGTCTCAGAAACCTGCATTTGAGGAGCAAAACGTCTAAGATCAGAATCTCATTTCGCAAGCACGCGCGGAGGCTGCTGGCGGTTGTTAGCAAGCAACGGTGGGCCGGACATCGGAACTACCACTGGTGGGCCGGACATTGGAACCACTGGTAGATGCAAAGCAACTAGGTTCGAAATTGACAGCATTGTTTAGGTTTAGAAGAGTCACACCATGTAGACGATCACAAACCACTGACTGTGTCTGTTGGGAAAATCTGACCTCTGCCCGCGTTCCGTGCTTCCAACAAAGTGATCCAAGAAGTCCAGTCTAGCATCATCGCTCCGGGGGTTTCGATGCCCGGGAGAGGCATCCAATTCACGCACAAGGTGGCGTTCATACCCTGACACTTCTGTGTTCTACAGCTGCGAGCACGACCAAGCCAACCTTGTGAGATATTTATGTTGCAGCGACACCAGATCGTGTCTTGAACCTAACTGGATCTAGGCTTCAATCCGATCTCAATTGACTCCCTCTTGCGAATCCGCTCTTTGAGGGCTGGCTGGCGTAGGCTGACGCAGGGGAGCGACTTCCTCCCAATCCATTTCCTTCCTTGCCACCGGCTCCCTGCTTCACCCATGCCATACTTTCCACAGGGCACCCCGTGTCGATTTGAGCCATGTTCTGACTCCCAAACATTCTGTGTCTCGCTGTTGCCTACGAGAAATGACGTTCAGTTCGTCTGGCGCCTGCCGAAGGGTGCATGCATCCGACCCATGATCTTCCAAGATCAGTTGGAGTGATTCGCATCTGGGCCCGCTCGAACCAAGCGCAGGTGTTTGCACTCTGTCTGAAGCAGTTGGCTTTTCATGTCAGGTGAGCGGTGCCGGATATATACGAGGGCAGCTGCCAACACAGTCTAAGGCTAGACATTCAAGGCTCGGCACCTGGTCATCAAACGCTCGTCCTGCGCTTCGGTTGAAGTGTCCATAGGCTCGTCCGGCTGCGGTGCTGACTGCGGCGCTGGCTGCTGGACAGCAGGCCTGAAAGTAGGTGATTCAAAGCATCTCAACACCTCAAAATTTGGCCAGGGCACTGCCTGCTTGGAGGTGCCTGTTGCGCCTGTTGCACGGATGCCGCTGCACCTCAAGGGCAGAGAAGCGAAGCAGGACAAGATCCTCTCTGGCATGCATGGTCTGCAAACGTCTGCGAAGGACAGACATCGAAGTGCTCGCACCATGCTACTTCTGACAAAGACGACGAACTGAAGTTATCTTAAACTCTCCAGCTTTCCAAAACATTATTCAATTCCTTCAAACATGCTACTTGCTGCTGATCCCCATTCTTAGAGAGTTGCCAGAGACAAGGGCTCTGACACTGCCCTGGCAAAGAGAATTTCCAGGACTCTGTGTTGGGAGTTTTCTTGGAGGTGAGGCGTAAGCAAAAGAGGCGTGCAAGACCCACTTCGCACAAGGGCCCCACAACCTGCCACAGGCTTCCCGGCCTCCGAAAGGGGATGGGCTGGAGTTTCCCCACAGCCCTCCACCTTCCGCGGATGCAAGCGGGCACATGCTGGCTCCGACATGCAACTGCAGAATTCGGACTCAGTTCTGGCGCAGCCGGCCAGGTTCCTGTATGGGTGGGTTGTAACAAACACACTGACCATATGTCCACCTGTAAAACAACCAGAGATCACAGCACTCACTAACGATAAGTGTGCAGAGTGAGCTGCACAATGTGGGGGTTAGATATACAGGATCAAGAAAACAAAAGAATCCCAGAAGCATCAAAGCCCCGTCGGCTCACCAGTGTAACCATACAACACTATACAAGTGTATACTACAGGCGCAACTCAGAGATCTAAAGAGTGATATCCATCAGAGCCGCTGGTGCCACTCTGCTGGCAGCACGGAGTTCGAATGACTGAGGAGACCCACTTGGGGACGATGCCGCAACAACTTGTATAGTAACTTGTATCCCTTTTCCGTCTTTTCACACGTGTGCTTACCCGAAGCACACACACACACACACACACGTCCACCAACTCCTTAGTCTGTGCACTGCCACCCCGAGCCCTGAAATGACAGGGCTTCTAGTCTTGAACGTCGCCTCCTCCTCCACCCTGCGCACCAAAGATCGATCCGCCTTGTCAGGGTGCTGGACTTTAGTGGAGTGCTGACACATTTTGCCCTGCACCAATCACATCCAATCACTAAAGACCTTGATTCGAACCCAGACCCCACACCTTTCACTGAGGGCAGGACCGGTGCCAGAAGCACTAGGACAGCTCGCAAAGCCGAAGAGCCCTATCAGGGGGGGGTCCGCGAGTGCAAGGGCCCTTCTTGCAGTTCAATGTAGAAGCGACTGCGGCATGCTGCGGCCTCCTCCCGTGTTCAATGCAGGGGCTGCAGCGGCTGGTGGAGTCCAGCCAGGACCCCCGAAGGGTGCAGCTGCAGCCTGTGGCACCATCATGGGCATGGCCATCGGCATGCCCATCGGCACCCCCGTCGGCACGGGCGCGCCTGGGACTCACAAAGAGGGCTGGCTGCAGCTGGTAGGATCACAAGCCCTTTCCTTTGCAGAGCAAGGCACTTTCGGATATTCCACCGAACAAGTCCATGTCAAAACCTTAGCTGTTGCAGTCTGCACCAATGCCAGGCAAGCTGTTCTGGAGTCTGATGCATGCCGCAGCAGACTTTCCTCCAGCAGACGGTGCTCAGGCACTTAAGCATCGCCTTGAATTTCGCCCTCTTTTCTGCTGCAACATGTTTCCATGACCCTCTCTCTAACTCTACCTTGTTCAACCTGTGTATCGGAAGGTTTCCCTTGCCAAACTTCGCAAATTTCAGGCCGCGACAGCCTGCAGGCACGGGCACGTCGCTAGCCTGGAAGGCCTCCACCATTTCGTGTCTGACTGGATACTGGCAACCGAGGTTTAGGGCTTAGGGTGCAGAAGCTTCGACTGTTGAAACTAGCTAGCTCAAGGCCCAAGGGCCACACACAAAGGCTGCTATTTGCTAATAGGCCTCAGGTCGAACCTTGTTGGCTGATGGAGGTCCCAAGGGGCTTTGCCAGAAATCGTGGCCGAGACATTTACATGACGATGTTGATGCCCTAGTCTCATGGGACTATGCGACCCCCTTCCAACCTTGCAGTCCACACGCAAAATAATGATGCATCACTCACGACCCCTTGTCATCTTCTGCCCCGGAGTATTCCCGCCTGTTCGGCAAAGTTTTGGACCAACTCCTGCGAATTCTCCACGGCTAGGCTTGACACTTTTGCTTGCGAATAGGCTTCGTATAGCAAGGATGCAAGGCAAGACCTGCGAGGCAGACCTTCGTTTCGCCGCAGTAAGAACCCCAGGGCGGGGGTATGTATGTACGTAGGTACCTCGGGGTTCCTTATGTTTCGCCATGACCACCCTTGCACATCCCTGGGCCGTCCTCCTTCTTGGAGATGGACAGCATGCTCTGCATGGCCTGCAGTCGAAAGTATAAAGCCACCAGCGGATGCCGGGAAATCCGTGGCCCCACCTGCACATGTCCTTTGACAGCGGCCAGCCGCTCCGTTTCGCTGGTCTCCGCCGGACCTGGCAAGACTCTGCGGAGCAAACAACTGCAGTGTCTGCAGTCTGCGATGGGCGCAAGAGCTTTTGTCTGCTAAACATACCTGTGCCTTGTAGATGGCCACAACTGCAATCGTTGAACGCTGCGTGAAAGTGGCACACACACGCCACTAGCGAATGCAGGGCACACAACGCCCTTCTTTTCTACCTGCAGCCGGCTTGGCTCTCTCTCGAGAGAATCGCAGACCCTGCGGCGATCACTTGTGAAAGGCTCACCTGTCAAACATGCTATATCCCATGTAAAAGCCTGAACTCGCACCAGTAACACTCCTGAGTCTTTCATAAAGTGCCGCGTCTGGGTCTACAAGGTCTTGCTCAGCAGCCCACGGGAAAAGGTTTTCATATGCAAAAGCTTGAACTTGGTGCACAACATGTGCTTCCACTTCGCGGATGCACTTCTCATGTTCACGTTTCGTGAGCTTTCTCCCGGCAGTGAACTGAGGATCATATATGAGCCTCCGATGCTGTCTCTCAGACATGAGCTCCAGGAGGACTTTCTTGGCCTTGCCCTTGGTCAATGCGTCCGCCAGCAGCTCTGTGCCTGCAACCCCGCGCTCAACAGCTTGGTTGACAGCAATCGTCAGCTCGTACCCGGATCGGCTGCTTCTGAGACCATGAAGAGCACTGGTATTCCTCGTCATGGCATCATAGATGCCACGAGAATCCATCACCAGGGCCCCAGTCGTCTTTTCCTTGACCATCTCGTTTTGACGGCCTCGTATAGGAGGATATCCATGGATCTCCAGCCAAACACATCGAACAAGGTACATCATGTCCTCGCCTGCAGTGATTGCTTGGACTTCGCTGCCATTGGAGCCGAGGACTTCACTTGGAGCTTTCTGGCTCCGCCATGCCACGATATTCATTGGCACGCGCTCTCCATCCAGGATGTGCCTGGGAGCGATGCATGTCAGCATCCCAATTGTGCTGCCCCGGTTCACCCGGTTATTCTGCGCAGCATCCGACCACGTCACAACGCAAAGGTCCTCCCAGCCTTCATCGAACGGATGAAAGATTAAGGTCTGGTCCGCCATGCGCTTTGCCTCCCTGATCACCTTGTTGATGCGCAAGATCAGGTCGACGGTGGCCGTCGGGATCTCCGAGAGCATCAAACCCACGTCGGCAAGGAATTGTGGGCTCACTTGGTTAGCCCTCCAGGAAAGAGTGCCCAGAGCGCCACGGATCTCCCTGATCTCCTGGGCCGTAGCCTTCTCCTTTGGCCGAGAAGCTCGCTGGGGAGAAATCGGAATTTCTTCCATCCAGCGGTCAGTGTAGACCTTCTGGTCCATGAAGATGGTGCCGCCGGGCTTCTGGACAATGTTGCACCCAGCAAAAACTCAAAGGCAGATTCTTCCCACTTGCCCCATTCGAAAGCTTGCTGCAAGGCAATCTTGGCAGCCATGAAGATCTCACTCTGACGATCTCCACCAAGAATGAAATCATCAACATGGCATCCAGCGATGCCCACCAAACGGTTTTCCTTGTCCAATAGCACAAACATGCACTTGTCGAAGGCAAGCTGTCTCCATCCTGACTTACGAAGAGTCTCGGCCACAGTCTCGAACCATGCCCGTGGGGCATGACACAACCCGTAAAACGCTCGCTTGAGCTTGAGGACGGTGAAGTCGTCCGCGCCTGAGCCTCCGAAGGCAGCCCCTAATTCAGCAGGTGCTTGAATGAAGAGGTTCTCGTCCTCGAGGTCTTGCATAGCCTGCAAGAAAGAGGATGCCACATCGGCGGATTCAAGGATCCACCGGTTCTTCGCAACGACCGCAGGATGCGGCCAAGCTTCGAAAGTGTCGGCGAAGAGGCCTGGCTTTCCACCAAATTGGGAGATTGAAAGCCGAGAACCACAAGTCGAGCTTTAGCTCGCCCGTCGGACTTCACCGTGAGCACCCACCTCATTTTCATAACCCGCGATCACCGCAGCATTGCGGATCACGTTGGAAATCTGTTTGGAGTGACTGTGCCTCATCAAAGGCAACCTTCTGCTCATGAGTGAGGGTTTTCCAATTGACCTCGCGTCCTTTCTCAAGAAGTTTTTCTTGGACATCCACACCGTTGACTGTCGAGTCGAGGCTTCCCAGCAAGCTGTTGCCAGTCCTTGTCGGCCATGTCGATCTCGAACATGTACCCCGTCATATCATCTACTGCAGCTGGCTCTTTCCGCTTGCGGTCCTTACGTCCTTGTCCTTCAGGAGAACGGGTTGGAACATCGGGGACCATCTCGCTGTCGGTGCTGTCAGCAACAACTGAGGTCTCTGCATCAGACGCTTCCACGGGAATCATCACCTCAGTGCGCTTGTCGTACATGAACTTGTTGCCACCAGCATCCACATGAGGTAGTCGATGGCCACCTGGTAGTTTGCATCCGGGGACAAAACAACGAGGATCTGGTACAGTGTAAGGCTGCCCCTGTAACAGGAGGAGCATTGTCTTCCTCGGTGCCAGGAATGGTGGCACCTCTTCCACGCCGGGCTTCATCTGAAAAACCCGGGGTTGACAAAACAGCCTTCACGTTGCAGGACTCCATGGGCATTTGTACCCCAAACCTCTCAGCCAAGTAGGTCTTCACAGGTCCCAGGCTGCGGCTCGACGTCGCCAAGTTGACAATAAGATGTCCCCCTGGGGTGGAACCAAGAGGAAGAAGCCGTAGTTCTCCTCCTCGCTTCTGAAACATCAAAGTTCGATCTCCGTAATTGATCACGGCCTGGAGCTCGCGAAGGATCCGACCGCCAAGAAGAAGAGGAGTCTCCTGGCTGCTAGCATCATCGAGAAGGTACACCTGCATCAAGCCAATGGCGGCCGTCACCACATCGACGCGCGAGGTGGCCTGAAGTGTCCTTCCATTCCCGAACCTGAACACTGGTCGGTCCTCGAGGGTGAAGCTGTAGCGGCACTTGGTGGCATTGAGGAAGCGCTCCATAGTCCCGACGCCACATGCCGACTCAGTTGCCCCTGTATCCAAAATCATTTCACCCCCGCTGAGCCGTCCTTGTGGAGCATCTTCACACGACAAAACATATAGCCATGCAAGGTTCAGGGGCCGCTCGCCGTTGTCATTCTCCTTGATCGTCTCGTGCGACAGGTCCACGCGCTCCAGGACGTAGGCCGAGGCATACCCGAAGTCATGGACATAGGCATCAGCGCCCTTGTTCTTGGAGCCTTTCGGGCCTTTCGGGCCTTTGCGGCCCTTTCCTTTGAAGCCCTTCTTCCCGAAACCTTTTCCAGGAGAGCTTCCGAAACCTTTTGCACGCGTCGGACACACTCGAAGAAGCGATGCCCAGAGCGGCCACAAGAGGTACACACGCCTCCCTGGCCCTTTCCAAACGAACCTTTTCCGCCCAAAGGATAATATCCTCGAGCTTGGCGAGCCTTCTGGACCGCATCCCGGGCCTGCTGGAGGGTTTTCTGAGCTTCTTCCGCTATGGCAAAAGCTTCTGCCTCCTCTTGAAGAAGGGACTTCTCCTCCTCGCCCGGTGGCCCAGCATCACCTTCTTCATGAACTTCGTCAGGAGCAGGTTCTTCACCATAATAGGCCCATTCGTCTTCGCCGTAGTAGTAGTAGTACACGCTCCAATCGACCGGCTCGTCCTGCCAGTAGGCTTCAGCTCCCTCTGCTTCTTGCTCCCAGGACCAATCGTCCCAGCCGTCATTGTAGGCCGATTGGTGCGGCTTCCGTGTCTGCTCCCAGCCCTCGTCGAACATGGTGCGGAGAGCCTGGCGCACGGAAACAAACTTCGTGCTGTTCTGCGTCAGCGTGGGGATTTGCTGCCGTTCTTGGTTCTGCAAAGCGCATGCCTTCAGCAAACGGTAGCCCCGAAGTTCGTCCTCGAAGAAGCCAACGCTCTCAGCCTGCCCTTTCACTGTTTTCGACCTCGTAGAAGAAGTCGGAGACGAAGCTTCCGGTGCAGCAGGCTTTCGTGACGGACTCCCGGCAGCATTCGAGCGGTCCTTCTTGTCGTCGTCCTCGTCGTCAGGATCTTCGCCGTCATCGGCACCAGGTGCTTCATCGGTGTCCACCGTGGCACTCGGAAGCGGCTTCTGCCCACGCGCTCTCTGAAGGGACTGCTGGAGCTCCACGAAGAGCTCCTCCTCGCGAACGATAAGTTGAGGTATGCTTTCTCCTTGCCGCCGGTTAGACCAGCGCTCCAGCCTCTGAAAGGTGTCAGGAACCGGCAGCCGTTGGAGAGGCGACCCTCGCAGAACATCAAGCAGCTTGTCCAGCCCGTTGGCCGTGGCATAAACCTCGGGATTCAGGTTCCGAACCACGCTCTTAGCCGATCCAGTCAGCTTGTGCCACACGCGGGGTGCAGCAAGGTGGCGCTCCGTGCTCTTAAGGGAAAACTGGTACCAACGGCACTCCACAGCAAAGCGCTCAAAGGTGTTCGGGCTTCCGTCCCAGCTAGGAGCATCCCCGTCCATCGGGCTATAGGACATCTCGTGAGCACAGGAAGTGCTCCTCTCGGCCACAGTTCTTTTGTAGCCCTTGTCAATGCAGAGTACACAAAGCGGAGAATCAGGTAAAAAGGGTCGAGGGCTTCCGGCGTCTCGAAGGTCTTCTTAAAAGCGGGCCCCTGGATCTCACCGAGGAGCTCCGACTACCATGAAAGTGGCACACACACACGCCACTAGCGAATGCAGGGCACACAACGCCCTTCTTTTCTACCTGCAGCCGGCTTGGCTCTCTCTCGAGAATCGCAGACCCTGCGGCGATCACTTGTGAAAGGCTCACCTGTCAAACATGCTACATCCCATGTAAAAGCCTGAACTCGCACTGCGCTAACGGTAGCCCCTTCCTCCTAGGTCCACGGAAACTTGAGCCGAGGCGATGTAGGTCCGGGGACGGGTGGCACTTCGCGATGCAGGCTTAGGGCGGCTTAGGGCTTCTCCTTGTCAAGAGATGGGGCCTGAGAAGGAGAGGAGGTCACTCGGAATCTGGTACTTGATGAAGAGCTGCATGAGGTCTTGCGTCAGCTTGATCTCCTGCCGCTGATTTCATGTCTCGCTCGAACTTCACCGAACCATTTGAGAGAGTCGCAGGATCCGTTTTGCACCATCGTCATGCTGCATGACTAAGCAAAAGCTTGGGCAAAGCAAAAGCCACGTCCTTTGTCAGGCTGTCGCTGGGCAGGTTAAGCACCTTGCGAGCGAAGACTGCATCAATAGAACCAGGCCTACTGTAACACCGAACGCTGGCCGCAAAGCACTGTATCCTACCTACTTAGCATGGCCAGCGTGCTGCTCGCACCACATGCACAACGCACCGGACATGGAAAGACGGACGACTTTCAGATGCTTTCAGCCTTCTCCAGCTGGGGCTTGATGTGGACAATCACCAGCCCAAAGAGCGTGCTCTCCAGCTGCATGGAGCGGATCGCCTTGGCAAACCTCTGCTGCTCCGGCGAGAGTGACTCGATGGCATCACGGAATTCCTCAGAGGGACCAAGGCTGTCAGCTCGCGACTACCTGAAAGAATCCTAGAAGTTGAGAGGCAGAAACTTCTGAACCCTGCTTGCGCGAGCCCGAGAGTCGTGAGCAGTCGGGATGGTCGATAGCTCCAGCCCGATGGACAACTCGTCCTCAACACACCACTAGCCAGCAGATAGAACCCCATCAATCCGCTCTTTGCGTTCCAGCCTTGTTCTGAACAATAAAGGCCTGCTTCGGGTCGAAGGTAGTTGAAGAGACCACCCGTCCAACAAGCACGATCCTGAGCGTGACGAGGTGACGGAAAGACAGAAAGCAAACCTTTGCAGCATCCTGCAAGTTATACTCCACTTCGCAGGCCAAACAAAAACGATCCAGTCCGATGGACAGTACGACATGGAGATGGCGTATGGGATGCCTCTCTGACTCCCCGAATCCTGAGAATCACCCCTTTCTGCGCCCCTTATGGTCCCTCCAAGGCTCATGGAGCTGAACTGCCGAGCTCGAGACACCAGGTGGAGAGCCTCCTTGCCCGGGGAGCCAAAGAAACCAAACGCAAACCTGAGTTTAGGGTTTCGGGTTTACGGTTTGTGGCAGGTCTTAAGACGGCTTTTGCGTGTGCTGTGAAGTGAAGTATCTAGAGAGGGAATCTCCACCAGGTTTCACGCCTTCCTCCGCCGATCTCTACAGAGAAACTAGCAGTTTGCACTTGAGTCAATTCAAGTTACTCCCATCGCGAACCAACACTCGAATTACAGTGCAATGCACCCTCGTGTATGTATCCACCGAAGGCTCCCCATGCAGTTGAGGCACTGGTGCGATAAGAAGGCATGCAGATAGTGCTGGCCAACAAATGACACCGTGGAGGAGGCATTCCTCGCAGTGAAAGATCTTAGAGGGTTTGCCGAGTAAGTATGGGCGCGACGTCGTCTGAAGCCTTCTCTGAGAAAACTAGCCAAGAATCAATGCGAACTCCATGGGCCAGGAGGCTTCCGTTTGAGCCACCATGGTTGAAACCGGTTCTCCCCCTGACTTCTCGATGCTGACGGTACCTTCCGCATTCTCTCGCCCGGCTACGTGCCTAAAGCGCGCATGAAACCTGCTATCAAGCGGAATGCACAAAACAGAACAAGAACAGATGAGACAAGCAGAGATGAGCTGGAACGACAAAATGCGACGGCCGCGACTGCGGCTGCGACTGAGACAACGTTTCAGACCTCTATACCATACCATAATATACTAAGAAAACCATAGATTATAGTATACGATAGTTTCTATAGTATACTATACTCGGCCTTCCGGGCTGTGGAGCTCGGAGCGTCTCACGGCGAAGCAGAAAGGCTGCGGAACGAAGGCTTCCGCGAAGAGCTTCCGGCTGTGAAAGGTCATATAGTCCTAGGACGGTTTAGGGTTTAGGGCTTAGGGTTCAGGGGTTTAGGGCTTAGGGTTCAGGGGTTTAGGGCTTTGGGTTCAGGGGTTTAGGGTTCAAGGTATGAGTTGTAAAAGGTCATGTAGTCCTAGGGCGGGCTGGACGCGAGTCCGTGAGTTGCCAACGCTTCGACCACCCAGACGTCCCTCCCTTCCCTGCTTGTCGAGTATGATGGGGAACTATAAAGGTCAACCTTTTTGGTTATATACGGCATATATTAAGGGACTATACTACCCAAAAAAGGCTAAAGGATACCAGGATCTACTAGGCTTCCCTTCTGCCAGGCGGCCCCGAAGTCTTTTGGAGAAACCAGCTTGCCAATGGCTGCCACCAGCTGATTTCGAAGCCTCAGTTTAAGGTTTAGGGTTTAGGGGATCGGATTCCGATAAGCCAAGCTCTCCCTGTTACCGAGAACTTTTTTCTGGGATGCCCAGTAACCTAGGAATAAAAAGGGCTCCCTTTTTGGTATTGGGTAACTTTATAAGGAACCTAGAACTACAAAAAGGGAATAAGGGTACTACTGGGCATCCTAGTCTTTAAGCCCGAAGAGGCTTTCGAGATTGCTGTTTGAGGCCAAGCCACATTTCCTCCACGTATTTCAATGAGTCGTCGTATTGGTGACACACTCCCTGGTCGGAACATGGACACTTGAAAATGCAATCTAGCGCTCTGAGACCCTTCACTCTTTGAACTGCGTTTGCCACAACCCAACTTCAATCTTGATATGTCTTGATGACGCCCAAGATTCGTGGCAGTGTAAAGTCGTCACGAGCAGTTGCGCTTCCGCCGCAGTGATGACGGACTCGGACTGAGGGAAGGCCTGCGAGGAAAAGGGAGCTCAGGGGATCCGTCTCTCACGATCGATCCAGACAGCCTGCCTGAGCCAGTTCCCCAAACTTTGCTTCCAAGGATCCTTGGTCTTGATTCAGGCAGCCAATCTTCGGATGCGGTTCAAGAGGTCTAGCTGCCAGGCACTGAAAGTTTCACTTCGCTTCTCCAAAGAACACCAAGGGACGAGTCTCTGAAACGCTAGCTTAAGGTTTGGGGCTTTTTGCTACAGTTTAGGGTTTAGGGGGCACTCCAGCCACTTTCAGGCAGGTGGCGCCTTTCTTCCTGCAAGAACCTGTTCGCGTCTCCGAGGCTGAGCGTGGCGCCTGGAGCGCTCTTGGTCAGGGGCTCTGCTATACTATAGTAAACTATATCATACCATACCATGCTATACTACACTATACCATGATATACTATACTATACCATAATATACTAAAAGTATATAGTATACTATACTTACTATAGTCTCCTACACTATACTGCAACAGAATACAATCTCATACAATTTCTGACGGCTTTGAGGAAGAGAAAAACTGCCCAGGACTCCAGGCCTCGTTCCGGATCTTGGCTGCCAAGATCTATCAGATCGCCCGAGCCGGGGACCTGTGCAGCACCGAACATATCATGGTATATTACAGTATGCTATTGTATTGTATAGCACATTGTATTACAGTGTATTATAGAATATTATAACATAGTATCGTACGATATGGTAGATTATGGTATGGTACAGTATCGAAAAGTATAAAAGCCTGCCTGGACAATGGCTCGCGTGTTCGGATCTTCCAAGAGCGGAAGGACTGGCTGAAAGATGCCCTCTGCGGACACCGAGATTTCCTGAGTTCTGTTTGTTGTGAAAAGTTTAGGATTTAGGGTTTAGGGTTTCACTTCCCAGCTTTCGAGTAAGGCCCCTGCAATGCTCTTGGGATCGATCCTGCGGCACATCTCGGTCCTGCAGCGTGGCTCAGACAGCGAACGGCCACAGTCGAACAGCCACTGAGTCTAAGGAGACAGCATCGAATGGCCAAGGCCTCTCAAAGCCACTGAGTCTCATGCTGATAGTGGACGATGCCCTGACACCAGGTCTGGAACTGGGCAAAGTGCTTCTGAGAGGCCTCTACCTGTCGAGCAAAAGCAAGGCTTACAACATGGTCCCAGTACTGTCGCACCAAGCATAGCCGAAAGTTTCCGCACCTCAGAATTGCGCGTTGGTGTCCTGCACTTGGCATCCTCACGGCAGATGCTGAAGCCCGCCGACTGAGGAGCATCCTGGCGTGCGGGAGGGGTGCTCAATGTGTCCTGGGACATACACACACACACAGTAAACAACACACGAGCACACCCGTGGTTTCGGTGAACCTCTGGTACAACACATCCCCGTGGCCTCTCGCAACGAACGAAGCAGGAAGCTCACATTAACCTTGGATATGCCAGGGCTCTAACTTGACAGCTTCGATGTGAAGTTACACATTAGCCGGGGAATATGGAAGCAGTGCCTGGTAATCCTATATTGAAAAATTCCTATTATGCTTAACACTCACGCAAACATGTTCAGGGGGCCTCGTTATGCTTAACACTGTCCCCCTCCTAGCGCTGAAGTCCTGAACCATAGGTCCACCTGGGGTTCCACCTGGGCCACCATAGCAACCACCCCCAATATTTCAGTAGCACACAAGACCTGGATTCTTGCCTGGACAGGGTTCTCGCCTTCCGCCTGACCTATCTTCATTCCGCAAACAGTCAAGCGGATGCAGATCCCGCAATGTTTCCTCCGTTGGCCACCGCACCCCCAGCCCCCCCCACCCCGCGCCCGCCACCCCGCCCCCCGCCCCGCCCCGCCCCGCCCGCCCCGCCCCGCCCCCGCCCGCGCCCCGCGCCCCGCGCCCCGCGCCCCGCGCCCCGCGCCCCGCGCCCCGCTTCGCCCGCACCGCTTCGCACCGGCCGGAGGAAGGGAGCAAATCGGGAAGCCCGGTAAGGGCTGGTTGCTCTGGCAATGCTGCTTGTTTCTGATGGTGGGGGCTTGAAGCGGGTTTGCTTCGGGAGTAGTGTTTCGGTTTTCAAGTGGATTTTCAGGGATATTGCTAGCTTGAACCTGGGACCAAATCGTTGACAGCGGGTTCGCCCAAAAAAACCCAGAATTTGACACCAGGGGTTGCCCCAGGTTTGGACCCAGATCTCAAAAACTTATGTTAAGCATAATAGGAATTTTTCAAATCCTATAGCCTTCAAACTACTCTCTTCCAGGCAGCTGGATCCAGCTTGTGCACCTTCACTTCGGGAAAGGGTGGCTCCTTTCCTTGCGTCTTTATCCTCAGGATGGCAGGTGCAGCACTGGACTCTCTGGGGAATCGCGTGAAGGTGTGTTGCAAGACTTCCTCCTCACACTGCTGCAGAGCCTCTCAGACGAACCACTGCGGCTCCTGAAGACGATCCGGTCGTCGGCTTCTGCACCTCCAAGCAGCCACAAAGTACAGAGATCTGCAAAGTCTCAGAGCTTCCCAGCGGTGAGGAACCTACACCACGAAAGGCTATGAGCTCGTACCGGACGCTGAAGCTCCAGACATATTCCTGAGTCCAGCAACATCCCAGACTCGGGGAGGTGGAGGGGATCATCACAGCTGTGCTCGCACACAAACGTCACAAAAAGATCAGATGTGCCCAGACCTAAGAGTACATTCCGCAACACCGGACCACGAAGTGTCGCTGCCATTACAATCTCAGTACATCGGCTATCCTTCGCTCAGCATGAAATGGCAGCCGAGAGGCCCTCACAGTGGTGACCACCTGCAGCTTGGACGTGAATTTGGTCTTTGTTGACTCATCGCCGTCCCTTCCGTGCGTTCTTTGATCCCACTGCCTTCGTAGTGGTCTCGATTATACCTCAGATCCGACATGCCAGGAAGATCGAGTCGTGCAAACAGCAACACAAGCCGTTCAAAAAAGCAGGAAAATTGGACACTCAGGCGGGTCGTGGTGAGGCCGGATCCGCTTGAACTGCCTTGCTGGATGCCTTTCTCTGGGGTGGTGGGAACGTGAACTCCAACTGGAGCCCCGATGACGCTTGCGGAGGGGCTGCCAAGGCGGGAGGGATGACGCCTTACCCATGGCTGTCACACCCCGGCCGCTATCCATCCATCCATCCATCCATCCATCCATCCATCCAATTGGACACTCAGTGGAGACATCTGGGTAGGAGACCCGACACGCACTTGCCGTGTAGACGAAATCTGCTTGTAAGGGTTCAGAATGCACAAGCCATGCAGATTGCTTCAAGTAAAATTGTCTCGATGTCCAGCTTTGGTGGATGCTGCATCGCGTTTATCTGCGCAACAGACACCCCTCCGATCTGGGGTATGGGTGGAGCTCCAGGTGTAGGTGCGGGTGTGTGGGTGCAGGTGCAGGCGTAGATGCAGGAAGCTCAGACAGTAGTGGCGGGCGAGAAATCGTCGTCGTCGTGGTGGCGGTAGCTGTAGACTGGATTAGACGAAGATCCTGCTTGTCTTCGGCCGAGAGGCTGGCCCCAGCCACTGCCACCTCCGCAAGACAGGGGACAATGGTCTGGCGTTGTCGGAACCGTACGTTAACTTGTCGAAATCTCGACTAAGCTTGCAACGACATTTCTGACAGACTGACGGTCACACAGCATAAAGTGGAATCGGTTCAAGCATTCAAGCGTCAGACATTGGGACGAAAATGGCAGTAGCCCAACAACATGCCAAAATTCATGCTGATCAAGATGCCTGTCACGACCATACTGATGCTGATACCACCCTGTCCACCCCTGCCTCTTCGACCTTGCGAGAGCCCTCGATGTCCCTGGACTCCTCCCGAAGAAACTTGCACCGCTCTTCTGCACAGAATTGGAGCGAGACCTCGGTGAGTGTGCAGGAACGAGGGGCAACTGCCCCGCAGTGAAGGCCACAGACCTACATCGTATCTGATCCGTTATTCAGTCCTTTCTCCCACCAATAATTCTTGCATTTTTCGAGAGCAAGACAAAAGGCCGGGTTGCGCTGTTTTCCGATGCCCAGCTCCGCAGCATCTGCAGCTGCGCGGAGGTGAGGCCCAGTGCTTGGAGGCAGCTGATCCTGAGAAAGGGGCTGTCGCAAAATCCGAGAGAAAAAACGCCTCAACTTCGCTTCTTCGATGCATTCCATGCAAGATTCGAGGCACTTCGCAGCCGTGGCCATTAACATCCCCGCTTTTGCCAGGTCACTGGGAAGCAAGAGCAGAGTTTGTCAGGAATTCGACGAGCAGGAACTTGTCCAAGTAGCGATGGAATCTCAGTGCAGTCTGCGTGGACAGGGGTCGGAAGCAATCAGCTGCTGCAAGTCAGTGTCGGAGCTCACAGTAATCGCTGATGAGGCGAGGAATGATGAAGCCCGCGTGGGAACGGGAGCAGCACTGGCAGGTTCACAATAGTTCTCTGGCATAGGCAGTGGCAGGCACAGGCCATTCTCAAAACGGTTGGTGTGCAAGCCCTCGCGGTTCGACTTATTGGGACATTTGGGCGTCAGCATTTGGGCCAATCCGACCGCTAACTAAATAACGCATCAGTCGGCGACGCACTATCTCTTCCAGAAACCATCTCATCCTTGCCATCTTGAGGCCACTGTTCCGCATGATACTTGGCTTCGAAGGTACGCAAGAGCCCCTGCATCACTCTACATAGTTTAGGGTTTAGGGTTTAGTACTTCCTTATGCAACTCATCCAAGTATTGCTGCATTAAGCTGGTCGCTACGTCGTTCCATGTACAAACCGGGTGCTGAAGACAACACGCTCACAAGCCACAGCAACTGCGTGCTCTGGAATGCCGTCCGTAAGCTTTCTGCTTCGCGCGTTGCTATTCCAACTTGCTGAAGGATTTGGGCCTGATGGCAATATTGCTTTATCAGTTCTTCTTCCCGCCAAAGCGATTATGTCATATTTCTTGCCTTAACCGGTGCCAACGCATCATGCGACGCCGGGCCACACATCTGGAGCAGCCTTCGGCTGCCTCGATGCCTGCAGGAGGGATCCGAGCCTTAAACCCCACGACCCTAACCCTATGAACCCTAAACTGGCCCTAAACCCTGCACGCCAAAACACAGAACCCCAAAAACCCTGTAAGGCAACAAGGATAGAACAGACATACATACATATATATATATATGTGTATATATATATGTACATACATACATACATCTATGCATACATATATATATAATATATAATAATAACAATACCAATACTGTTTTTGGTCGGTTATATTATGTGTATATACATATATATGTATATGCCCATAAACTCTGAACTCTGTGATCTCTACATGCTCCCAGCCTCCAAGATCCGTGCCACGGTTTCCAAGGCCTTGTCGAGGCGGGCCTGGAAGGTCCTCCTCTGGCGAAGCTCTTCGGGGCTTCCGTAGCCCGAAACCGTTTAGGGTTTAGAGTTTAGGGTTTAGAGTTTAGGGTTTAGGGTTTAGGGTTTAGGTTTAGGGTTTAGAGTTTAGGGTTTAGGGTTTAGAGTTTAGGGTTTCGGGGCTTCCGGGGGGCGAAACGGAAGGGGGAGCTTCAGGTCCCTGATTCTTCTATATAGACTCTCTTTAAAAAGATATACTCTCTTAAAAGGATGCTCTCTCTAAAAGGATACCCCTCTTTCAAAGGATACTCGTTTCAAAAGGATACTCTCTTTAGCAAAAGCAAGACCTCTTCGTAGAAGCGGGTTCAAGGCTACTCGGAAACAGGATTGGCCCCGTGCCATATTTGCCTCCGAGCGGCTCGAAACTGTCGCTGCGGCTAAAAATCCCCATGGTCGGCCAGTGCTGCTCTCAGCCACCACCGTAAGCAACGCGGCTGCGCTTCTGGTGGGGACACGTCGCACCGGCCAAAAAATGACAGCCACCGCACGCTGATGCTGTCAGCGCGGAAGCTTTTGCTGGTACGCAGGCACTGGAAAATACAAGTAACCAGCAATACTGGCAATGACAACAACAATAATCAACAACAGTTGGTAGTTGTCGTAGTAGCAGCAGCAGTAGTAGTAGTAGCAGCAGCAGCATTAGCAGGAGTTGTAGTAGCAGCAGCAGTAGCTGTAGCTGCAGCAGTAGCAAGCAGCAGTAACTAGTGGTCGGAGTAGCACATGTTGCCGCTGTAGAAGCACAAGAACTGGTACTGGTAGTGGCCGTGGTGGTGAAAACAGGAGCAGGGCATGCAGCAGCAAGCAGCTGCACATGTAGAAACAGATTCCAAGCTCCCAGCTCCCTTTCTGCCTGTGATAGCCTCGCACGGCTCCACGCCACCGTCTCTTCCACAGTTGCCCCGTCCTTTTTTACATGTCTGCACCGTGTCAAGCATCTCTTCCCAGCTTTGAAACGAGACTCTTGTTGAATACCTGTCTCGCCTGAGAGCATGCAGCTGATAAGTCTGAACGGAGGATGTGCGTCTTGTTTCGGGAATTCAACCCACGCGTCCTCAAGGCTCTCGAGCACCGCGGCAGGCTCTGCACCGGCATCCATGGCTTCGGGCCTCACGAGCTGGGCTCTGCCTATGCAAGATGCCACCTTTGGCGCCTTTCGAACATGGTCACCACTCATTTGTCACAGGGGTTCTCAATCTCACTATCGCCACCACCAGCAATAATCACGAATGTCCAATCTGAGCGGTTTATGCTAGTTCCCACCAGACCGATCATCCCTGCAGGCATTGCCAAACCCCACTGCTCCGGCTGTTGACTGCTGCTGCTGCTGCCACCACCACCACCACGACGACGACCACTTGTTCTCCCTGGCTGCTTCGACTGCTGTTGTCGACATTGCCTTTTGCAATCGCACTGCGCCTCTACTTCGACTATAAAGACCCCTACGTATCGCAAGAAGTCTGCATGTATTGCTCTTCCTGCGGGTTCAACAATTGAGACTTGACTTGCCTGTAGGTGCCGGCAGGGATGGCACTTCAGGAAAGCGCTTACCCACCCGCTCACTCAGTCACTCACCCGTTCGCTTGCATCACGAATGGTATGGTCAGTCAGTACGCTTCCGAGTTCTTACAACTAGGACTCAAACCACTATCGAGATCATTCGGCGAGCTGTCATGACCACATCCATGCATCCACTTCGACTGCGATATTGGCTGCGGTTATGACTTTTTAAACTCTGCCATGGTCGTAGCTACTGCAGCCGCTTGTCACGTCTAAAACTTTTGACCACTTCGTCTTCCTCGTCGACTGTGCCGTATGTCCGTCGCTCTTACTGTTGCAGCTCTGCTTGCTACTGTTATTTCGTGTTGCGGCCGTTGCTCCGGTTGTTGCGGTCGCTACGTGGGCCTGTTGGTTCCGCTTGCAGTTTTTCTCCTAGTGATTTTAGTGCCGATTGACACTTTACAAATCACGGACATGAACAACAACAAAAAGACGAAAGCATCAAACGGGTAGTTATACGAAGGAAACCCCAAAATAGTATAGTAGACCCCGCAACCTTTTCGTGCGGTTTCCCTCGCGGCCCCTCGGGCCACGGCTCTCCCTGCGCTCCCGGTGCACATTCGAGCGTGGGCCTCAGAATCTCATAATTGACTTCGATGGTACATAACTATACTATATTAGTACTATAATAGTACCATAATCATACTAAGTGATCGATTCGACGCTACCGCCACACCCTACATCTGAGTCGAGGGCTGGTTGACGCTTGGCCTCGCCACATCCTGCTGACGACATCAAATGGTTCTTTCCACCGCTTGGATCGATGAAGCACGGACAACCCCGACACTGACTCGACCGTCTCAAACTGGGCCGGAGTGGATGATAAATCAACTTACGGCGAGATGCTCTGGCAGTCGCATGTATGCACTACACCTAAAACAGCCAGGATAAAGACTCAACGTGTCCCAAAAACCTTGATGCGCTCGGCTTCCGGAAGCTGCATCACCGCCGCCGTTGCCTGAGAAGGAACAAAGGGCCCGAGGAGTGAGTCCGCACACCCCGTGCAGCGATATCAAATGCAAGCAGATCAGAAAAGCATGACTAAAGCTCATCTTCCATCACAATCCGGCCCCTTTGGAAAAATCAAGCCGTTCATGCTCCACAAAATCAACATCATCCAAGGTGCGCAGCGGGTGAGGTCGGAGGTGACGGTGTAGTTTAACGTCAAGTCGTTGAACAAGACGCAGCACGTGGACCTGGGCCTTCGCCATGCGAGCAGGACGCCCCAACATGCCAGCATTCCACGAATTCTTCCTCCTCGGTATCTCTGCTTTGTCCAAACTCTCTCCAGGGCCCGAACCCTTCCAGGTTCGGAGAGGCCGCCCGGCGACAACACGAACCTGCCAGACATCAAGTTGAACGCAATAGGTCACCGCTTGCTAAGCCGACAATGAGAACCACAGCTCCTCTAGACTCTACCCTACTTTGCAATCCGCAGGCGTCCCTGAGCGTCGGGCATCCAGAGCAGTCGGACATCGAGGAAGACCAATCATTCTCCGCATACTCCCAACCTCGACCAAGCAATGCGGAGCATCAAATTCAGACTCCGCACGTCAAGCTCGGAACGCGTTTCTTATATGCCTTCGCTCGCTGGATTCTGAAGCCATCCTGATCCTAGGCCTGATGCCCTGCCTGTGGCGATGCTCTGCTTGCATTTGGCTTGATGCGACCCTGACATGAGTCGCAGGCAGTCGTCGGTGCCAACACTTCTGCACCAATTCAAGTCCTGCTGCGACGCTGCAACAGTGCTCAAGTGTAATGCAGACTCTCTGCAGACAACCACCACATGTACGGTCCTGCGAACTGGAGAACCCGTAGCACCTATCGTCCAAAGGATGCGAGCACACAGCTACCATCTCAAAAACTCTGCTCGAACTCAAATCCAACTCACCTGGCCTCCACTTGTTCGAGTCCTGTGATGGTACGGGACACTTCGGTTCTTCCGCCGTGCACCTCGCAAGCATGCTGCAACTGCTGACCGTGTCAGCCAGCCAAGCCTTTCAAGAAGTCCTAGCTTGAAAAGCTTGTAGATCCGGGTTGTCTGCTGATATCCGATCCATAGCTCGCTGGCCTGAGAGCGATCCGATGAAAGCTTGCATCAAGCTCCTTGAAGCAGACTTCTTAATTCTCAGAGATGCCGTCGGCGTCACCACCGACTTGTCCGACCCGGTGCTCAGGACCGGCGTGATGCTGTACTCTCACCGTCTAGGCTGCAAGCTGCAGCCGCTGAGTCACGCGCAAACTCTGCGCCGGACGCCATCGACTCCTCCGCTGACCAGAAGTCCTTCCTCGAAGAAGCAAGGCGAACGCACGGAAGAACCCAAAAGTCACGACTCCGAGAGTCGCGCTGCACCATCCACTTTCGGGTGGCATCTGTTCCTGAAATAGTCTGTTCGGTCTGGACACCACAGGCAGAGGGCAGAGCTTCACATCCATCAGCGGGCGTTATGTCTTCGTCCCGTGCAAGACGCTCCAAGCCTGACAGCAGCGGGTCATACTGGAAGTTGGTGAACCTGCGAAAGAGAGGCGCAAGTGTCGAGGCTAAGTTCCTGCTGTTTGCAGGGCTGCGTGAAGATGGTGCGACCCATAGACGGTTTGCCTTGCCCCTAAAACCTTGAGCCCTTCAACCCTTAAACCCTAAACCCTGAACCCCGAACCCTTAACGCCGCTCTCAACGCCCTAAGAAACCCCAAAATATGAGAGCCTACCCTAAACCCTAAACCCTCTTTGCCTAAACCCTAAACCCTGAACCCAAAAAAAACATGAGAGCCAAGCTCGTTATGAAGCCAAGCGCACCGCGCCTGGGATCGAAGGTCGGCAGCGCATAGAGAAGCGGCCGCCTTGGATGGACCTGGGAGGGTTTAGGGTTCAGGACTCTTGCATGAGTGGTGTAGGGTTTAGGGTATATTTAGGGTTTAGGATTTTGGGTTAAGCGTTCAGGCGTTTGGGTTTAGGGTTTGGGTTTTTTTTGTAAATGCCTTTCTCCGACCCCTCACTGAGAACCTTCGTCACCGTGGTAGCTGGTCTTTGGGGTAGCTGTGCTGGTAACCCCGATGTCATTCTTCGTCAGACGGTGGTAGATCCCTGAAGACCCTATCCATCATCTCACTGTACGGCGACATCGGTGCTCTCACTGGTGGCTCCTCCTCTCATGTCAGCGCAAGACCTTCAGGATCACTGTCTTCCGATTGTGCATCATGTCCATGTGCGTGGAGGTCCGGGATCACCTGGGTGCCCTCGTCGTCTGGCAGCTTCTGCGTCTGCCGTCTGGCACGTCTGCGTCTCGGTCAAGTCGGCTTCTGAATCCATCAATGTTGGCCTGGTGTTCCTTGGGAGGCATCATTTGCAACGCCGCCCGCAGAGCTTCTAGATTGTCATGCCAGCCCGCTTCTCCCCTGTTAGCCATAGCCGTCATGCTAGTGAGTATCCTTTGCTGAGGCTGCTTCCATCTCTTTCAAGACTGCCCCAGTCACTGTCCGCCGCCTCGGCTGCCTGCTTCGCTGGCCTGGATGCCCCGCTCCACAGCTCGGCTGACCTCGAACATCAGCATCCTCAGCAACCTCGGGAATGCAATCGTCATCACTGCCCTGTCATGCTGGCTGTATCCACCGATAGTCTCCTCGATCATGTTGACGGTGTGCTCAGCTAATAACGGCTGTCCAGCCGCCGCCACGTCCCGATCTTCTGGGAACGGTTTGCTGTCTAGCCCCAAGAGAAACCTCCATCCGTCCACGGCCGTAAGTTCCTCTCTGGCATCGGTCTGGCTTTGCTCTTCGCCTTCAGCTCCCCGGTGGTCTGCATATCCTCGGCGCTCCAGGCTTCTTGATCGCGACCTCCTCAGCCATCTCGGGTGAAGGTGTCCCTTCGTCTCTTCTTCCTCCGCCGCGCCTACCTGTGCCCGAGTCCATAAGCACATTTTCATCTCCATCATGCTCGGCCTCCGCTGGGCTCGTTGAAGAGGTTGCACTCCTTGACTGTCTCCACCCCAGCTGCTTTCGCACATCATGGCGTGATGGGGTTCGCGACCGGCTGAAGCGTGATCTCTACGCTTCGCTGTCCTCCGCCTCGTAGCACTCAGCCGAGCACGATTGGGTATTGTTATTCTGCCGGTGTGCACTCAAGTTTCCGGTTGCGCAGCGCCACTGGGCAGATTAGCCAGAGCCAGTGCCGCCGCATGCCATCCCTCACCCATTCATCCACGCTGCTATTCACCGACACGGCGATGCATCTCGGCGGCGCAAACATAGGCCTTGCCCTAGCAACCCTCAGTTCATGGAGCGCCCACGAAATGCCATTGGCATAGATCTCCGCCTCATCCACAGATACCTGATCTCCGCGTCCTCGTAGTTCCCGGAATAGCCTATCAGTCAAGTCGTCATCGCTGAACCCGTTGTAGGTGAGGTCGTTACCCTGTTCAATGGCACGGTAGTAGCACGGGTCCAGGCCCCTGATGAATAAGTCTCTCGAAGCACGCTTGCCCCCTCGCCGCCCTATGGTTCATCCGGCTCGTCCTCCTGGGCACCTCGGTCCGAGCTTCGCCTCGGTGTTCTGGAGCGATCCTCTTCCCGTCGGTCCTGCTTTCCGAAGGCAGTTCCATCCGGATCATACCTGGCGTCGTGGCAGTGTCTCTGCCAATACGAATCTAACACCCATCTACCTGTTGTCGCCCTTCCGCATGTGCTTGGGTCCGGGTCTCGGTCGGCAGGCCTTCGTGCACGTGTCCCAGGTGAGCGACCACATAACAGGCAAATCGAACATCCCCTCGTGCCGCGAGTTAATGGTGTAGCTCAGCCTTGATCCCCTGCAGAGAAGTTCGCTCAGCAATCCCGATCAGAGCATTCTCCAGCATCTGCCTCAACTCCCGTAGTTGCCTGGCTCGGTCTGGTCTTTGCCTGGTTGGAGGGTTGCCACAGTGCGGGTTGTGTGGAGAGCCTCCTGGAAGTCCTGGTAGACGGCCCTCTCAACCTCCAAAGCGAAATTGACTTCGTCCGCTCCTCATGCCGAAGGCTCTCACCGAACATCCTACGCATCCACCCCAGGAACACCTCCGCAAACAGTTCATATCTTTGGTCTCAAGGGCTGAGGATCAGGCGGACGATTCTGCCCAAAGGTTTTCACGTCCCCGCCCACGGGCCCGCATCCGTTCCAACCGGGCCCGAGCCGACCTCACCCAGGCACAGTCCATCTCCGTGGCCAGTCTTCGAAGCGTGGCCCCAGAGCATTCTTGGTCCCCGAGGTCTGCTGGTTCCTGCTGTCCCCAAGCTGGTAAGTGCCCTTCCCTCTGAAAGGAGCTGTATGATCTCCCAGTACACACACCGTCCGATGAACTTCCCGGCCGGCTTCCTCCCTCGAACTGTTCCGTGCCAGTGCCATTTCCACCAGTGATGCCTTGCATGATGGAGTGGTTGCGGTCGACTGTTCTGGAGCCGCCGCTGTGCGTTAAAAACTTTACCGCCCCCTCTATGGACAGGAGGTAGTTCCCCACCTCCTTAGCATCTTCCAGGCCCTTCTTCTGGTCGGGGCCAGATCCTTGAGGCCCATGAAAGAATGACACGACTGCCTGGGATATCGCTGCCAATCCTGCTTCCTGTGTGATGGTTGCAGACGCCTGGTCGTCGGCGAGAATGCTGCGGCTCCGGGCGTGGAGCTGTGACGCTTTCCACACTTCTTCAGGCCTCGACCCGAGGAGCCTGCAGAGTAGCATCATGTCGGCAATATCCCGGGTGTCAAAGACCGGGGCGTCGGCTGTTGAAAGGCCTCCCGACCCTGCCTCACTTCTGAGGATGCAACAAGTAGGGATTCGCGCGGATTCCTGGCCACCCCGATGGGCCGGACCCCGGCCGCGATGTAAGAACCTCCAGGTGGAAAGCACGTGGAACCCCTGAATGCCTTCGTCACCGAGTCAAACTCCGCCACCTTGACATTGTACAAGCGATCTTTCATGGTCGCTTGCCTTGTCGCTGGAGCGAAAGCACCAATCATCATGGGGGCCGGCACCTGCAGCTGCTCCTGGACTGCTCTGCAAAGCACTCCCTTGAGTGCTTTGAGGGTTTAGGCTTTAGGGTTTAGAGTTAGGTGTTTCGGGTTTAGCGTTCAGGGTAGCACTGCGAAGGTGCAAGAGCGCCGAGGCTCTCTGGCAGATCACATCTGTGAACAAACGCAATCCGGGAAGGAATCATGTCAGAAAATTGCACTAGCAACCATGATAGGAAACAAGGAATGCGATCGATAGAGACTGAGCAGTCCAGACTTGTGTTCTCGTTTTTCCTTCTTCAATTCCTTCTGGGCACCGCCACACGACGCAGAATTACACCCCCAGAGCATGCTTCGTAAATCGCAGCTCGGTCGAATCCCAGACGCTGGCCGAACCTGCAGATCCCGCACCGTCTTTCTGCTTTATGAAATGCAACGACAGAGAACAAATGCAAGGGGCTTCAGCAATGATGACAATAGGGTTTTGGTGTATCTTAGAATAGCTTTATAAGGAATCTCCAAATTCTGATGTCTGGGGCCCTGGCCCCGTACGACTTCGACCAGCCCTGGTGGCACCGATTTCGGGTGCGCAGGCTGCATGATAAAGACGTGGTCATGTCTGTGCACGCACAGCTATATCCACATATCCATATGTCGCACTCCTCTACTTACACATACAACGCAGCATGAGCACTAACATGTGGATGTGCTTCCTGACATGTGTGTATGAAGGGAAGTTTGCATAGTTACATGCATGCCGGTATATGTTTGTGCGCAAAAGACTATTCACGTCCATATCCACACCCACACCCAGGCCTATATGCACTTATTTATCTATACCTATATCTGAGTTGCTCTATACCTATACCTATGCCAATGCCTATGCCTATGCCTATAGCTCTACTACCTATACTATCTATACCTATACCTACACCTATATCTGTATGCATACCTCTGGTATAACTGTACCTAACCTGCATCTGCTCTGTGTCCAAATACCCAATTCTACATCTACATGCTTCTAGGTATCCAACTCTACCTCTATCTCTAGTTATCCCTATCTGTATGATAGCTACATTGCTATTTGCATTTATTTCTACATCCATGTCTGTGTCTGTGTCTGTATTTCTGACTATAACCATAGCTTTGTATATGGAATATACATATATATATCTATATATATGTATATAAAACATTCGTGTACATATACATACACATCTCGTTGTTTTCTTTACAAATTATAAATACATATATATATATATGTGTATATATATATATATATGTATGGTATCCCCCCCCCCCCCCCATGGATCTACCTTTTTCGTGTGTTTGAGAGCCACATCACACGAAAATGGAAGATCCTTGAGGGGAGGGCCTACCCGATGGACCGTTTGGTGGTTGGGTGAACTCCACCCTGGCCCGACTGAGTTCAATCTGGCCGACTGAACTCAATCCCCCCCCCCCCGATTGAGTTCAATCGGGGCCGATTGAGTTGAATCGCGCGCCGGATTAAAGATTGAAGATTGAAGATTCCCTCGAAAACTTTGCCGGGGAATCTTCAATCTTCAATCCGGCCCCCGATTGAATTCAATCGGGGCCGATTGAATTGAATCGGGCGCCGGATTGAAGATTGAAGATTGAAGATTCCCTCGAAAACTTTGCCGGGGAATCTTCAATCTTCAATCCGGCCCCCGATTGAGTTCAATCGGGGCCGATTGAGTTGAATCAAGGCCGCTTGACTGCAATCCCGCTTCGTCCCAAGTGGGCGGGGTTTCAGGTTCAGGGTTGAGGAATTTGAATGTTATGTGCCGAACGTGTTTACCAGGATCTCGAGTGCTGCGTGTTGGTGAGCGGTTTTTCAAAATGATGGAGAGCGTTCATTTTTTGGTCTGTGAATATTGGTGAAAAACCAACGGGTATTCAACAGGATTCATAAAGGTATAAACGGTTTCTATAATCTATGGGTATCTATACGAAATTTTTAAGATGTAAAGAAGGAGTATCGTGTAAGGTGTTCTATATGCTCTTGTTTTTGATTTCTTCATTGGGCACATAGCAGGTACAGCGCAGAGCATTTTGCTCCTGATTATCCTGCCATTGATCCGTTATCTATAAAGTATTCTACAAGGCATTCGATGGTGCATTCTACGGGTATGTTATAGAATATCCGTTAGGTTTTCTTTAGGACTTCCTATGGGGTACTCACAGGGTATCATAGATATTGTGTATTCTGTAAGCTAGTCGGTAGGGGATTGTAGATGATATCGTACAAGGCCTATAAAAGGCCAAGTATGTAACGTTGTTTTGGGCTCTCTATCGGGTACTCTATAACGCATTGTATAAGGGATTGTACAAGGCATCAACATGAACGTAAAGATTATCTTACAGAACGTGTTCTATAACGCAATGTATAGGCTATACGGCTAGAGGGTACTCAAGAAGGTATCTATGAGGTATATAGGGGATATTCTATAACGTAGTACCTAGGGTCACCTGTACGAAAGTCTTTGAAGTTTGCGGTATTCTTTAGGTTATTCTCCTCGACTCCTGGATCACTCCTAGAAATCCCTTACCCGATAGGCTGCTTCTTTATGAGGGGTTCTTAGATCTTGGGCTCGTTGAAAGGTTATCTATAGGTACTCTTACTTCCCATATCCCTATGGGGGTGTAAGAAGTTTAAACTTTCGCAACAAGATTACCTTATTAGGGGCCAAAAGTTGAAGAGTTTGGTTTTGAGCCACTAAATGTTATATGGGTTCATGATATATATATATATATATATATATGTATACTGTATACAACGACTGTCATGTATAGGGCCATATGGGCATCCTGTAAGGGCTTCTATAGAGTATTCCAGACGGTCTTCCATGAGGCGCACGATATATAGAGGGTACGATGTGTTCCATAAGGTATTCTGTAGGGTATTCTATGTCGTATTTTGTGAGGTATTCTAGATATTCAAGAGATTTACAGGCTGTGACTGAAAGAATATGATAAGGTATTCTAGAGGCTCTAGGGTATTCAATAAGGCATGAGGATATTCTATATCAGTGCATTCCATCTGAAAAGTTTTAAGATACATAGAGAAAGTATTCTAAAAGGACATCCTGCAAGATATTCTATATAGTGTCTTGCATAAAGTGTCCTATAGGGTATGTGTAATATAATGCGTGCGGTGTTATATGTGTTCAGGGTATAGATACTGTTAAAGGGTACTATATTGCTGAAATACAAGGTATTGAACCCTGGCAATATCGATAGATTTCGTGTTCACGGATATTATCTGTAATCCCGATGCGTCTTATAAAGGGGAGGTGTAGAAATAGGGTCCTCTTTTCATATCTATACTTGTCGTGATACGGGATGACATATCTTTGCTCTCCTGTTGCGTGTTACCTTCACAGCCCATACTGTTGCATGCAAAAACCTATACACACACAGAACATGCATGCAACCTTGCGTTCTTTTGCAACACGAGAAGAGACCGTACGCGAATGTATGTCGCTTGGAAAAACTAAGTGTGATGAAGGAAATGCAGAATTTAGGATCTGCGAAATCTTTGATCGAGTCGAAGCGTATTTAGTGGAGGATTTATAAAGAGAAGGGAATACGTTATAGAATATCAACTATTTCCCATCCGGCTCTCAAACACACGAAAAAGGTAGATCCTTGAGGGGGGGGGTAGCATATGTATATATACATATACAGACATACATGTGTATATATATGTATATATATATATATATATACAATTTTTTATCTTGTTGCAAGGTTGTGTACCCAGTCAACAAGCAGCACTTACTGTGTGCAGGCTGATGGCCTCGCCTGGATTTACAGATTAGCCCCTTCGGGTGCCGGGCCCTCGTTGCGAACTTCTAGTACTGCACTATCGATTGCTACACGACAACGCGAATCTTGATTCCGTGAAAAGACCCCGAATGTTGCAATGTTTTCGAAACCTGGTGATTCTTCACCATAATGACTCGAAACAAGACATGATGCTGCCAGGCTCAAGAACCGTCTAGAATGCAATCTGTCGCAGGCCTTCTGCGGTGCAAACTTGGCCCGGGAGAACCGCGAGAGCGTGATGTTTGCTGCCCATGTAAAATGGCCGACCTACAGATCAAACAAGGTTTCGATGGAATGCTCCCCGTTCGGAGCCACAAACAAAGCGAAACCGTTTCTGCATTGACGTCCAGGACAAAGGCCCGCTGCATGCGACCATCCTGGATGTCACCCCACCTGGCAAAGCTGAGCGTGGCAGTGCACTCAGGTCTGATGGCCGCCTCGAGATTCCCCTTCCAACAGCTGCACAAGGCAAAAATCTGAGCTTCGAGCCCATTGAAGTCCCCACGCAAGAACATCTCGTCGTGCCAGCCTTTTGTTTGTCGATTTTGTCATCGGCTATGCGGCAACTTTGCACCAAACTCTCCCAACTGAAGGACGCCGAAATGTGCTGCCATCTGAAAGAAATAGATAGATGGGCATACATATATATATATATATGTATGTCTGTGTGTGTGTGAGAATCTGTGTATATGTTTATGTGGAACTACACATGGACATATGGATAAAGATACATATATATATATATAGATAGATAGATACATATATATATATATATGTATATACATATCATCTATTTATTTACTTATGTCGATATAACTAGGCGGTCACCAGGGCCGAGCTCCTGGCTGGCATGGCAGCGCATCCCATCTGCCAGAACACAGTCGCCAACGATGTAGCTGCTACTGGATCCAGCCTGCAAGCTCTTCACGGTATTCGGGATCCTACTATTACAAAATTATACTTTCCGTATAGAATCCTTATACATAGATCCCCTGAAGGAAGCCTATAATTTAATCTAACCTAGTTGGAAAGCCACGTCTTCAGGGCTGAAGTTGAAGTGCAGCCCCTCCGACCCAAGCTTTCCCGCTTCTTGGCATCCCGGCATGGTACTGTACCAGGACGGGAATTCCCGGGTAGACCGGCCAGTCGCTCACATTCTGATATGGAACCCACCTCACAGGCTGATGTCGCGGTTCCATGTCCTGCCCGCCCTGCCCCTGTTCATCTGTGCCGAGGAAGCGGCTCAGACCACTTGCTATGCTGCCGCACGTTCTGCATCCTGGATCCAGGGTTGGCACAACACAATCGCGGCGAACCTGCGCAGGAAGAGCTGCCAAGTTGAACGCGCAGGCGGGCCTCATCCATTTGGCCCCCGATGCCTGAGCCGTTCAGCCAAACCAAGATACAGGGCTCATGTGCTCAACACCGTGACCGAGGCCTCATGGCAAAGATGCCCAAAGTCCATGCAAACTAGCCCCGGCTGCTCGTGCCTCAACTCTTGCAAGGTGTCACATCTTCAGGGATGCCACCAGTCGAACTTGAAAGCCAAGAGCCAGACATCTGCGGGTCTGCAATCACATCACGCCCACGGTGCACCTCCGAAGAGCTCTTCATCTCGATCAGGCTCAGACACTGTGGGCTTTAAGCATGGCAATTCGTCGGGTTTCTTGGTGCGGCACTAAGAAGCTGGAACGGAAGGTTGCAAAGAGCTCCTGCAGCCGACTGGTGCTGAATAGACTTTGCTCCAGCTTTGCACTGGAGGCTCAAAACCCGTCTTGCCATAACAGTCGCAGCTCCCTCCTGGCCATCTGCGGCCTTCACACCGGACGGCACGGCCACCTGCATCCCAGGATCTCAGCTTCTTCCGAAGTGTTTCGGACTCCGGCAAGCAAGGAAAGTGCAAAGAATGGAACACAGCTGAACACCGGCACGAACAGCACCAGTGAAATCAAAAAATCGGGAGTCTGGCTTCGTGGAAGCCATCCGCAAGTGCAGCCACGCCATCCAGCTCCAAAAACGCAGCCTGCGAGCAGCGTGTCAACTTGCAGAGGCACCAAAAATGTGCCGAAACATTTCCCACCTGGCAGCTCGCATCCGCACAACCTGAGGGTCACCACCAACGGGTGCGCTGCAGAGTCCACAGATGTCCAGAGTTTTTGGATCTCGATTTCGGACGGTCAGCTCTTCTCGGCTAGAAGAAAACGGGGCCCTGCGCCTCGGTGGGCCCTTCCTTCACCCAAAACCCAAAGGAGGAGCTGATTCGGCCAGGGAGCTGAAGAGACCCGGCCGGCCATCCAACGTGACCACCGAAGCGACGAAGGGATCCATGGGCCGGTCGAAACGGACGCTGACCCTGAGCCTCGGGACTCGGGGGGGGGGGCGTTGGGAATTTGGGACCGGCTCACTGACTGTCACACTCTACCCATGCATCTTTTGGTACAGGGTTCTTCGTCATGGGGCGATGGCAGCTGGGGGGAAGCAAGGAAGCTGGCTTCACTCGGTCCTGTTGCCGTGTTCGTTGCAGCTTTGGAAGCAGCTGTGTGCATGTAACCATGTCGGGTTCGGCACCGCAAACCTATGCTGAATCACCCGGCTGAGGCCCTGGCTTCTCACTGGAGCTCTGGTCAACGGCCTTATTCCAGAGGCGTTGGCAGACGGCATGTAGCCCTTCGTAATTGGGGACCCCACCAGCTCCGCAGCGTGCTTGGGGAACACCTCCACAACCGTCGGAGGGACGGGACGCACAGCATCGGGCCTTGGCGAGGCGTAGGGTCTTAAATCCGCTTCGCAGGCAGACGCGACGGAGGCGTGACTTCCGGGCTCCGGACACCAAGATCATGGCTTGCAGCGGAGCTACCAAGAGCGAGATTAGGCCACCGCTCTGCACCACAACCTGCTCTCATTCGCAAAATTCTCTGGTGACGGGCGGGATGATGCGGAATGCTTGAAATCGTTCGCGGAGCTGAAAGAGCCTCCACGCTGGAGTCTTCTTGCGCGTCCTTGAGCTTCGTGCCCTTGGCAGCTGGGCGCAGCTCGGAGGCTCAGAGCATCTCAAAGCCCCCCAGCCCCAAGGGCCTCGTCCCAGGGAGAATAGAAACTTGCCGTTCGTGGCTCCTGTGGAGGAAAGGACGGGGACGGGCAGGTCCCTCCAATACGAAGTTGTCGCTACCGCTACCGGCTCTAGAGCTTCGCAGCCGAGCAAAGCCAGAGCTCCTCCGTATGAAAGTTGGCAACGACCGTTACACGGCCTCCGAAGCTCAAGACTTTGAGACAACGGCAAAAGACTCTCTCGATGGCAAGTCTCAGCAGCCATGTCCATCTGATATCTGTGGAAGAGTACGGTCGTCCGCAATCCGTCCCATGGTTAGTTTGGGAACTTCCTTGACAGATATCGGAACCTTGGATATCGCATCCACGCCAGAAAATGAGGAGGTCCTGGTGAAACACAGGCGCTACAGGAAGGCGTGCCACACTGGCCCAACTACAGCACTGCGTATGCTTCACTTCCAAGCAGCACCTCCAGCTCAAGGAAGCTAAGCCGCTAAGCACAACAGCGAAGCCAAGAATGCTGACGTCCTCGATTTGAGGCAGCGGTGTCCCGACTTGATCGCAGGTGGCACTCCTGCACGCTTTGTTTCCGGAGCTCGATGTGTGCGGAACGAGTCAGCGAGCCAAGCGCCGGGCCCGAAACCGGCGAAGTACGCCCTGCGCAGCGCGTTGAGGCGTGCGATGTGCCGATAGGTGGCAGACGTCATGTCCTGGGATCCCACGGGTTTCGGCATCGGAGTTAGATTCCGCCATGCGAACAATGGGAAGGGATGTAAAAGGCATCTTGACGCATGCTTACGTGCTTAGTTGTGCGCTGCTGTCCAGGTGGAGAATCATGCAAAGCCAAGGCTGTGGCGAAGTTGTCGCGATCTGCTGGGTTCCCTTGCGATGTCGTTCTGACCTTCAGTGGCCATCGGGCAGCAAAGCTCGTCACGAAATGACTCCAGCATCATGGCCAACTAAACGAGCCCGTTGCAGAAACGGCTGACTTGCGGAACTGCTCTGTCACAGCTGTATTTGCACTTGAACAAAAGGCTGCCTACCAAAACGCACACTACATCGGTTCACGCGTCCTGAGCTACTGTCTCATCTGTAAATTGTTATCTAGAAACTATACCTACCAATGCGCAAGCCCAAAGGCCAAAGGTGCAATCCGGATATTCGAGCCGCCGGCTGCACTCCACGCGATGGAGGGACTCAGCTCCTGCACAGCTCCAAACTTCAAAGCATCAAAGCATGCGAAGCCGAGGCGACGTCATGTCTGGAAGCACGTTTGCAAAGGCGTCCTCTCGTGCCCAGCCGTCCAGAGCGCTCCCTGGCCTGTGGCGGAGACATTTGCAAGCAGGTCCAACCCTGAAATGCCAACACGGAAGCCGAAATCTTGCTGCTTCTGTCGCCTTTTCAGGTCAACTCTTGCCGTCATCATCCGTCATTAGAGCCAGCAGTCCACAGACCCGTGGCCACTATTCTGGAAGCCGTTCCAACAGCGTGGCAGAAGAAGAGGAAGCAAAATGCGTGTCTCACCCCGGTGGTCAAGCTGGCATGAACATGTGGGAAGGCAACTCTGGTGACATGATCAAAACAAACAAAAAATCAGAAAACATCAACTGAACCTACAGGAACATTACCCTGCCAGCGCCCTTTATCTCCCAAGACCACATCAGCCAGCCCGTCGCAATTGGTCTCGACACTGCTCGAAAGCTCAGTGGAAGGAGAAGTACAATTGCTTATCTCATCCCGGTGGTCAAGCTGGAAAGTCAACACGGACGAATACCAGCAAAGGCACATCCCGTCGAATGATCGAAATGAGCAGAAAGCGACCACGCCAACTTCGCACGCAGACACATTGACATGCGCCCTTTAGCTCAGCCCCCAAGACCACATCAGCCAGCCCGTCGCAATTGGTCTCGACACTGCTCGAAAGCTCAGTGGAAGGAGAAGTACAATTGCTTATCTCATCCCAGTGGTCAAGCTGGAAAGTCAACACGGACGAATACCAGCAAAGGAACATCCCGTCGAATGATCGAAATGAGCAGAAAGCGACCACGCCAACTTCGCACGCAGACACATTGACATGCGCCCTTTGGCTCAGCCCCCAAGACCACATCAGCCAGCCCGTCGCAATTGGTCTCGACACTGCTCGAAAGCTCAGTGGAAGGAGAAGTACAATTGCTTATCTCATCCCAGTGGTCAAGCTGGAAAGTCAACACGGACGAATACCAGCAAAGGAACATCCCGTCGAATGCTCGAAATGAGCAGAAAGCCACCACGCCAACTTCGCACGCAGACACATTGACATGCGCCCTTTAGCTCAGCCCCCAAGACCACATCAGCCAGCCCGTCGCAATGGGTCTCGACACTGCTCGAAAGCTCAGTGGAAGGAGAAGTACAATTGCTTATCTCATCCCAGTGGTCAAACTGGAAAGTCAACGCGGACGATGACCAGCAAAAGCAAATCCCGTCAAATGTTCGAAATGAGCAGTAAGCGACCACACCAACTTCGCACGCAGACACATTGACATGCGCCCTTTAGCTCCCAAGACCACATCAGCCAGCCCGTCGCAATTGGTCTCGACACTGCTCGAAAGCTCAGTGGAAGGAGAAGTACAATTGCTTATCTCATCCCGGTGGTCAAGCTGGAAAGTCAACACGGACGAAAACCAGCAAAGGCACATCCCGTCGAATGCTCGAAATGAGCAGAAAGCGACCACGCCAACTTCGCACGCAGACACATTGACATGCGCCCTTTAGCTCAGCCCCCAAGACCACATCAGCCAGCCCGTCGCAATGGGTCTCGACACTGCTCGAAAGCTCAGTGGAAGGAGAAGTACAATTGCTTATCTCATCCCAGTGGTCAAGCTGGAAAGTCAACACGGACGAATACCAGCAAAGGAACATCCCGTCGAATGATCGAAATGAGCAGAAAGCGACCACGCCAACTTCGCACGCAGACACATTGACATGCGCCCTTTAGCTCAGCCCCCAAGACCACATCAGCCAGCCCGTCGCAATTGGTCTCGACACTGCTCGAAAGCTCAGTGGAAGGAGAAGTACAATTGCTTATCTCATCCCAGTGGTCAAGCTGGAAAGTCAACGCGGACGAATACCAGCAAAAGCAAATCCCGTCAAATGTTCGAAATGAGCAATAAGCGACCACGCCAACTTCGCACGCAGACACATTGACATGCGCCCTTTAGCTCCCAAGACCACATCAGCCAGCCCGTCGCAATTGGTCTCGACACTGCTCGAAAGCTCAGTGGAAGGAGAAGTACAATTGCTTATCTCATCCCAGTGGTCAAACTGGAAAGTCAACGCGGACGATGACCAGCAAAAGCAAATCCCGTCAAATGTTCGAAATGAGCAGTAAGCGACCACACCAACTTCGCACGCAGACACATTGACATGCGCCCTTTATCTCCCAAGACCACATCAGCCAGCCCGTCGCAATTGGTCTCGACACTGCTCGAAAGCTCAGTGGAAGGAGAAGTACAATTGCTTATCTCATCCCAGTGGTCAAACTGGAAAGTCAACACGGACGAATACCAGCAAAGGAACATCCCGTCGAATGCTCGAAATGAGCAGAAAGCCACCACGCCAACTTCGCACGCAGACATATTGACATGCGCCCTTTGGCTCAGCCCCCAAGACCACATCAGCCAGCCCGTCGCAATTGGTCTCGACACTGCTCGAAAGCTCAGTGGAAGGAGAAGTACAATTGCTTATCTCATCCCAGTGGTCAAGCTGGAAAGTCAACACGGACGAATACCAGCAAAGGCACATCCCGTCGAATGCTCGAAATGAGCAGAAAGCGACCACGCCAACTTCGCACGCAGACACATTGACATGCGCCCTTTAGCTCAGCCCCCAAGACCACATCAGCCAGCCCGTCGCAATTGGTCTCGACACTGCTCGAAAGCTCAGTGGAAGGAGAAGTACAATTGCTTATCTCATCCCGGTGGTCAAGCTGGAAAGTCAACACGGACGAATACCAGCAAAGGCACATCCCGTCGAATGCTCGAAATGAGCAGAAAGCGACCACGCCAACTTCGCACGCAGACACATTGACATGCGCCCTTTAGCTCAGCCGCCAAGACCACATCAGCCAGCCCGTCGCAATTGGTCTCGACACTGCTCGAAAGCTCAGTGGAAGGAGAAGTACAATTGCTTATCTCATCCCAGTGGTCAAGCTGGAAAGTCAACACGGACGAATACCAGCAAAAGCAAATCCCGTCAAATGTTCGAAATGAGCAATAAGCGACCACCCAAATTCGCACGCAGACACATTGACATGCGCCCTTTAGCTCCCAAGACCACATCAGCCAGCCCGTCGCAATTGGTCTCGACACTGCTCGAAAGCTCAGTGGAAGGAGAAGTACAATTGCTTATCTCATCCCAGTGGTCAAACTGGAAAGTCAACACGGACGAATACCAGCAAAGGCCGTCGAATGCTCGAAATGAGCAGAAAGCCACCACGCCAACTTCGCACCAGACACATTGACATGCGCCCTTTAGCTCAGCCCCCAAGACCACATCAGCCAGCCCGTCGCAATTGGTCTCGACACTGCTCGAAAGCTCAGTGGAAGGAGAAGTACAATTGCTTATCTCATCTCAGTGGTCAAGCTGGAAAGTCAACACGGACGAATACCAGCAAAGGCACATCCCGTCAAATGCTCTAAATGAGCAGAAAGCGACCACGCCAACTTCGCACGCAGACACATTGACATGCGCCCTTTAGCTCAGCCCCCAAGACCACATCAGCCAGCCCGTCGCAATTGGTCTCGACACTGCTCGAAAGCTCAGTGGAAGGAGAAGTACAATTGCTTATCTCATCCCAGTGGTCAAGCTGGAAAGTCAACACGGACGAAAACCAGCAAAGGCACATCCCGTCGAATGCTCGAAATGAGCAGAAAGCCACCACGCCAACTTCGCACGCAGACACATTGACATGCGCCCTTTAGCTCAGCCCCCAAGACCACATCAGCCAGCCCGTCGCAATTGGTCTCGACACTGCTCGAAAGCTCAGTGGAAGGAGAAGTACAATTGCTTATCTCATCCCAGTGGTCAAGCTGGAAAGTCAACACGGACGAATACCAGCAAAGGCAACTCCGGTCAAAACGCGTGAAATGAGTGAAAACGAGATCGTGTCACAGTCTCCTACCAGTAGCCAAACTTGCCATCGATGCCATGATGATCAAGACTATTCCCTGTTGTCTTACGATTCAGTTGACTACTGCCAGAAAAACAGGTAAGTAGAAGTTCAATGAAGAAACACAGCACGAGCCATGCAATCGGCGGAAGTGTTGGGAAGTCGAGTCTTTCTTACAATACTCGATAGCCACTAGCATCACCAGTAGCCCCGGGAAGCTGGGTAACCGCACGTACCAAGGTCCTGCTCGTCTCCCGCATAGTGAAGCGGCCTGCAAAGGCCGATAACAGAGGGACTTCGGAAGCCCAGAATGCCCGGTGAGAGCTGCTCTGCAAAACCCTTCTGTAACGAAAGGCTCAGAAGTCTAAGCTGCAGTGTTTGGGATAGTAGGAGGCTGAGCAGCGAACAGCCCTGGCCAGAAGGTGATGATAGCCAGACCTGCAGTCCGAAGCTGCTCTGGGTTTAGGCTTTAAGGTTTAGGGTTTAAGGTTCACGGTTTAGGGTTTAAGGTTTAGGGTTTAGGGTCTTGAAGGCCAAATGCTGATGGGAGATTCCTCTGACTCTTGTTGACTATAGTATGGCCTTGTTGCCACTACTGACGTTTCTGCACTGCAGTTGCCATTTGCCATGGGCACTGGAAATGGCATTCGTCTCGTTGGTAGCCTGCTTGCTCGAAGTTAGAAGTAGTGCCCGGTATGAGCAGACGTGTGAGCAGGAGTTGACTAGGTTGACATGTTACTTGTTCCTGTTCCGATTTCTCTTACCATACTCCTGTTGCCCATGATGTTGCAAACCTCACCTTAGACCTGTGGCAACCTCTTGCATAGAAGCCCAGCACGACGGCTTTCTGCAGAAGGTTCGGGTGTCCGGTTTGGGGCTTAGGAATCAAAGAAAAGTACTCGCATGAATGAGTCGACAAGCATTCCACGCTGCAAACAACAAAGCATGCAAAACACGCCCGACATCAGCTGCGCGGCCAACTGTTGGACTTGAAACTTCATTTCATGTCAACGACACGAATGACACCTACAGCATTTCTCATCATCGTCATCCTCATCACCATCATCCATCGTCATCACTATCGCCGTCATACCACATACGTGCATCCAGCCGTCCATCCATCCATGCATGCATGAGTTGCAGCCTACATACCTAATGCATGCATACGCACGTACGGACATGCATAGCATCATCGACGACGACAACAACAACTAACTGTACAGACGATGAATACCCGAACAACGAGACTGCCCAGCAACACTGATCGACAATTAGCAAGCAAACAGCAACACCTTTACAACTGCGCAAGTCTTTGCTCCTGCTTGAGAGCCGGGCACATGAGCAGCTGGTTCTTCCCCGTAAGAGTTTGGAGACGCCAGTTGTCGTGATTGTTGCAGAAAATCCACTGCGCCTTGTCATTGGTGGAGCTCGGCAGAGGCTGCATCAGACCGTGTCGGAAACGGTGCCCTCTTCACTTCTCTGTACTTGGAGGATCATGGGATTTAGTAAGTATGTAAGAATATAAATACCTTAATTGGGGTTATAAGTATACTTACCCGAATTATAACCCTAGTTACTAAGTCCCATGATCCTTTAAGTAGAAGCTTCAAGAGCAGAACACAGGAATTCCGCTGAGGGCTGAACGTACTCCGAGCGATTGGTGGTTGGATCGAAAGTATCGATCATCCGGTTCTCCTGCTCAGATGGGAGTTTCCGAAAATTAAGGTACCTCATATTGGGATCCTTATGGCAAGGATCCCACTATTTGGGGCACTCTAGTGGGGTTCCTTTTTTTCGGAATGGCTGTTGGCAAAACTTTGGCTTCCGAGCCAGCTGCAGGTACTTGGCACCCTCTCGGTCCTGCTCGTAAGCCAACGCAAAACCATCTGCATACTGCGGCCTCCGGTACACCTGAGGGACTTACAGGGACCGGTGTGAAAGAGACAGTTTTGCTGCTCTGAGCACGAGACCAAAGCTGTAAAGGTGTACCAGTAGTACGGATACCTTGGAATGCGTCCCGTATCAATTAAAATCGATTTTAATACCCTGTGCAGGGGTCCCAATAGCCAAATCAATTAAAATCGATTCCAAGTGTTGTCACGAGGCGGACCAATTAAAATCGATTTTAATACCCTGTGCAGGGGTCCCAATAGCCAAATCAATTAAAATCGATTCCAAGTGTTGTCACGAGGCGGACCAATTAAAATCGATTTTAATACCCTGTGCAGGGGTCCCAATAGCCAAACCCATTAAAATCGATTCCAACTGTTTCCGAACCCAGAACCTCTGGACCAGGGTATTAAAATTGAGTTCAAGTCATTGGCAAGAGAAAATTTGAGAAGGTATTAACATCGATTTTAGTTGTTTCTCGAAGCTAATCCGCAATGAGGTATTAGAATCGGTTTTAAAACATAATTGAAATTGAAATCCAGACTTATTTATACCTTGGGCTGTTGTGGGTTCAGAGGTCTGGGCGTTACTCTTTCATGGTGAGCTTACTTAAACTCTTTGAGAAGACCTGCAATTGCTGGTGTTCCGGTGACCAACAAGGCTGCGAAAAAGCCGAGAGGCACGATACCGCCTTTCAGTGTGGCTTCGCCAGCTATGAAGCGGTCTTGGCCGTACATACCGTTGTCCTTCCCGCGGCCTCCAAAGGGTTTAGGGTTTGGGCTTCACGATGGTGGCATGGCTGATATGTGTACACAGCATGCGTTACCGACATGTGTGACAAGAATACTCAGCAGTGGTTTCCGATCCGTTAATCATGAAACCGGGCTGCATACAGAGCACAAACGATGAGGGTCCGAATATTGTCACCGGAGGCTCATTCAACTCCAGCTATTTCATTCAGCAAGAGCCAGCCCCCAAACAAAACTGCCGGCTGAACAAGCCACTGCGATAAGCTACCCTGCACTCAGAAACTCCCAGGACTCCCACTGTCCACATGTAGGAGCAAGGGCAACACTTCAACTTGCCCGACACGCAACAAGATCACGGTCGCCGCTACTTACCGATACTTGCGGTCCGCCCCGAGCCTGTCATGGTGGCATACCTCTCCGTGGTGACGTAGAACTCCCCAAAGAGCCCGAAGCGATCCTGTAAAGCACCCCTGCATCCGGCGGGCTTGCAAAATCCTTTCTGTTTGATTCCAGAGTCGGGTCTTTGGGCACCATGCTGTCCTTCCCCAGCGATTTCGCGAAGCTTCGGATCTCTGGCGCCTGGCGCAAGGGCATCTTAGCGGCTGGCGTCAGCCTCTTAGGATCACCACGCAGTCAGCATCGCTCAGCTTCGAGCCCAGCGCTTGTAGAAAGGCAGGGGGACCTGTGAGATCCCAGGCTCCAGTGCATACGGCGACTACAGTGACGGTGCTGGCGGCCAAACCCTGTACACCCTCTATAAAACCCCGTGGGAAACCCCGAAACATAACCCTGTAAACTCCGTAGAAACACGCATAAAACCCAAACCAAACCGGAGAGAGAGCTTTTCAAGTCCACGGTCAAACGGAGCCTGCATCGGAGTATCTACTCGGAAGCCATCCACGTCGGCACTTTGGATGAGGGCTTGCGTCATAGCAATGTACTTGTCCTGCCAGGTTTGCGTGTTGAGAAGACCATCGCTCAGAGGTGAGTCTGTGGCACCCAGAAATGTCCTGAACGCGGCTGTGCTCCAGCCTCAAGTCGTCCATGGTACCATAGATCTTGGCAACCTGAGTGGCAGTCGCAGTGCCAACCGGATAATCTACCTTGCATCCGCTGCCTGAAAAAGTAGGGGACATCAGCCATCATCGCGTCAACAACCAGCTCCGAACGATAGGATCCGGGCATTAATTTCCCAGGGGTCTGCATAGTTCTGCAGGTCACCATTGTGGTGGAAGTCCGATCCTGCTTTGCATGTCGCTTTTTGGAGAAGCCTATCATGCTCAGACCACTTCCAGAATTCTGCTACTTCAGAACATCGCACAGATTCGCCCCGGGCCCCGGGTGACGGACCGTCATAAGTCCCTTGGCCCTGATCCCACGCGGCCTCGGGCTGCTGTTTTGAGGGTTCGGGCTTGGATAATCTCTCTCCATGGACAGGAACGCAGCCTCCTAATCTAAAGTTGGCAGAGCCCGATACCAAGAAGCATAAGAAGCAGACACTCGAACTAGAGCTTGTTCTGACACATCTGAGGCGGCCACTTCGCCGTATTGTCCGTAGAACGGGCTGGCATACTTCGCCTGGCCACACCCAAGCCCTGAAATTTCCTTTGGCTTTTAGCCCCACTGCACTGCCCTTGCATGCAATGCCGAGCAAACTCAAGCTGCTGCACGAGCCTCTGCAACCCAAGTGTTGTTGAAGTAGAAGTCCATGTAGGGCTGTTTTCCAGCCTGTCCAGAGAGCAGCCGTGTAGTTCAAGCGCATGGCTGTTGCAGTTTCTCTCAACCTGTCCACGCGGTGGCAGAAAAACCTGGCTCGTGCGCACCGGAGTGTCGTAGAGCTCGCTCGCGGCACGGCGCGTGATTAGCCTCCACAATCCACAACTCTGAGCTTCCGAGCACCAGGATCGAGTGTCCACATAAAGACCGTTGAAAAAGAACCCCATACTTTTGTATAAGCAGGACAGCCCCTCTGCGCAGCCTGTACTCCCGGAGACCATGGTTTTCGTGGAATCGGAAGGGAGCCTCATGTCTCATGCACAGATCCGCAAACACAAGCTGGAAGTGACCCAGAGTCCTCTCAGACTCAGCTGGACTCGGCCAGCACGCAACAACGCAACATCAACATCCAGCATCATCCAGCATAGGCAGCGGTCGACCGATGTCACGCATCCGATCTGATGTGACCCCTCTGACTGCGGCCCGGTCCGTGTCGGTCTGATGACCCTCGAAGAAGAACTCATTGCCCATGTGGTTCATGACTACGTCCTGAAGTGCAAGATGAGATCACAAGTGAACTGCTGCTCTTCTCAAGAAGGGCATGGGGCATTTTTCTTCCTTGTCTCATGCTCCCTTGCTTGCAACGAGTATTGAGCCGAAGCTGTATGGCCACGCTTGCTCTCTTTCTCTTTTCTGGGGTAGAACCGGTCACAAACTCGCCCACGCGTGCCCGCAGTCCAGACGCAGCCGGCGTAACACAGCTAAATGCAACACACATTTCGTAAGAACCTTGCACAGATGATCTCTGTCTCTCTCTCTCTCTCTCTCTCTCCGTCTCTCTCTAGCTGTCCCTCTTCCTCCCAATCTTTCCCAGGTTTGCCCTCCTAAGGAGGATCGATGCACTGACTGAGCCGTCCGCAATCAGCACGTACATGCCCCGATCGTGGGCTGCTTGCGTCAAGGCCTCGGCTCGCTGCCCCTTCGCTGCGACCAGCACCACGACAACTACAACTTCGACTACTGACACAACACAACCACCACCACACCGACCACCATGAATCTCAATTCACCCGTTGATCCTGCCGCCATGGCTACTGCAAGTAGGTGTAGTATGTGATCATGATCGATTTCGGGAGCAGCTGCAGGAAATGCCTCTTCTTTTCGCGTCAAGTCAAACTCATGAAATGGTGACTATCCGTCAGAAAATCATGCTGCCGTTGTCTTCAGAAATGACCATACTCAGTCCATCGCAAGTCCCCTACTCTCGGCACTGCGATTTTTCCGCATGTGAACTGGTGACCCTTGCTCGGTGCTCCATTCGATCATGATCCCCATTTGGGTGGTTGTCAAAATCATTGTCCCTTTTTGGGTCCCCTAAACATTAGGTGCCGTACTATAATAGGGACCCAAAAAGGGACCATAATTTTGACAACCACCCGTTTGCTGCTGGGCTCTCGGCCCTCAACTCCTCGAGGGTGCCGAGACGTTGATCTAGCAGGGTAAAGTCCTGCTGAGCATACTGATGGCAGCAGATATTACATACCATAATATACCATAACCATGACTGGTGGTGGTAGATATCATATACCATAATATACTATAACTATGAGCCCTAAACCCTATCGAAGTCCTGCTGAGCATACTGGTGGTAGTAGTTGTACCTTGCAGTGGACATCATCATGAAGCACAACTCGCTCACAGACCACAGCAACTCGCGAAGCTTGTGCTGAGGAAGGCTCCCATTCTGGAAAACAGGAGAAATCCAGATGGCCTCCGCGATAGAACCAGATGAAATGCAGTTGGGTTGTGCTGGTGATTCTGATCCGTTTCTCACAGCTGACCTGTTCTTTGTAACTGGCTTGCGAGATGATTGGAAACTCCAGTGCTGCACTTGCAGCCAGTACTGTCGTCTGTGCCACGATTTCGTCGCCGTCTTCACACTCAGGGCTGAATGCTTTCTGATCCCACGCGCTCGCAGGATTGAAATATCACCAACGATCGCCGACCGATGTGACAAAGAAGATCTGTCATGTGCAGCCGGCCAGGGCCTGGCAGCCGAGGCCTTTGATGTAGTCCAGCTTGGAGCGAAGTCCAAGGAAGTCGCCTCCGTGCCTGTCGGGTAACGATAGAAACAACTTCAGGAGCGCTAAAGAGGCTTCCTTTGTCAGAGGAAAACTTGCACCTTGCCTGAAGGTCATATCTCGGACATCGAAGCCACCTTTGAAGGCTTCATTGTTCCTGCCGCATCCGGAGTCAAGACTGAAACCGCGGCTCTGCTTCCAGGCCATGGAAGCCACCCGTCACTACCCGATACAAGATGCGAGATGATGCGCAAGTCTTGAAGAAGTCGCAGTCGCACCATGCGTTTGGCTGGCAGGCTCTGGCCTAGGGTCCCCATCGGCGAAGCGGTCCTGCGGCCGCCGAATCCCGTTAACGGAAGGGGAGCCGCTAAGGCGTTTGCAAAGGAAGCCGACCGAGGCCGGGGCGGTTACCAATTGGTAAATAGACAGCGCTCTCCAGTCCGTAGGAGAGGGGAAGTAGATGTGACCTTGCAAGGGCTGTCTCGATAGCAAAAAGTCAAGCTTTCCTCAGCAGCAGACATGGCAGAAACCATTTGCTTCCATTGACTGCAGCTGTACACTGTACACTCTCCGCAAGTCAGTTCGACACATGTTCATCCCACACGGGGATGGAAACATGCGTCCCCGGTGGGATGCTAGACTGGGTCAAGCCGGCTTTGTGCTTCGTTGGCTTGTGTTTATGTAAAACTCAGCAGAAAGTCTCCGATCTCGGCTGCTTCTGGAGCGTCCTCCTCGCAGATCACAACTTTCGCGATCTTCCGCGCACCCCAGTGGCAGAATCTGATGTCGCCGTTGGCGTCCGTCTTGACTGTCCAACCGGCACTCATCCAGTCGCAGAAACGCCGCACCTGTCTTCGGTCCTGAACCACGCAGTTTACAGAGGGACTAGGGCTGGCTCCGGCTTAGAGCTGAACGCGTCCAGGCTCCTGGAGCTTGATGAAATCGGTCGTCTGCAGCTCGATGCCTGCCCTTGAAGACCATGGTTGGCCATTCCTGGAGAGCACGAAACACAGACAGGAGCTGCTCTCTCTATACGGATCAGTAGCAAAAGTGCATGCAAATGAGTTAGCAACCTGACCGTTTGATTCGTCCTGCGTCTTTCAACCAGAGGCTTGCCGGGTGAAGAAACGATTAGGTTCAACTGAGACAGGTCCATGAACCTCGGCCTCTGAACCAGAGCACATAGAGCTTCAGTGAAAACCGAATTTCAACTCCAGAACCCTCAGCGGCGTGCTACCAAGCATCACTCGTTGGATGCTGAGCTCGTGCTCGCAGATCTCGTGCCCTGCAAAGAAAGCCTCTGCATCGTGCAGGGCGTAACCTGCCTGCTTCCACGACCTGTGCCGGGACAATGTACAGGCCTAGGCCTAGAGCAGACTGGGCACCACAAGATGCACATCACAGCTGAACGTGGGGCCCCGCCCCAAAGTGGACGCCGCAAACTCCACTGTCAGCTTCGCGTGGTTGGCGACCTCCAAGTGCCGGCCACCACCTCGGCAGAGGGTGCGCCAAAGCCACGAAGTTCCAAGCTTCCGATCTTCAGGATCTTTAGGGCCTTTAGGGTTTAGGGTTTAGGGCCTTTAGGTTTTAGGGTTTAGGGCCTTTAGGTTTTAGGGTTTAGGGTTTAGGGGTTTAGGGTTTTAGGGTCAGTGCAAGCCACCAGCTGAAAGCAGCGTGCGGTTCAAGCGCTCCACGCGCAGCAGCAGGAGGCCGTCGAAGAGCACTAGGGAGCTTGGTGGCTCGGAGAAGGGAAGCCGGCCGCCTCAGAGTTTGAAGCGCCCAAACCCCCAAGTCCCAAACCCCCGTAAACCTAAACCCTAAAAAACCCTGAAACACTAAAATCCCCATGCACAGCCCTGAACTTCACCCCACAACCCTAAACCCGTAACCCTAAACTAGACCCTCTACCCTACTGACCCTGGTCCTTTCTTTTGCTTTCACCGGGCGGCGGAGGCTTCGGAAAAGCTCCGGCCGGTGGCCCCAGAGCGAGGCCAGGCTAAAGGCCGTCTCCCCACGCGCGTCCTCCAGGCTTCCTATGATAGATGGAAGAAAGAAGAATAGATAGATCGATCTTCGATCAATGCTGTATTAAGGTATACTGTCTTGTACGATATTGTAGTATATGATATGTGTTACTTTTGTTTCATACTCTGCTCTGTAGATACTATATACTCTAATGTTGCATTATAGATGATATGATTTAACGTTATATGCTGTATCTTCGTCTCGTCTGACTCTCATATTCGGACTCATTTCCATCGTCCTGGCAGGCCAGTTCCGGCTGCAGGGCCTGGGACATGGCACAAACAAACTCAGGTCACATGGGAGTTTCCGAAAATTAGGGGTACCGACTTTTGGGATCCTTATAATACGGATCCTACTATTTAAGGTACTGCATTAGGGTCCCCTAAAGCACGCTTCCACACGGGAAGTTCTCCGAGTCTCTAAGAGCCTGCAACCCTTTTGAGTCGCGGCAGAGAAAGCATTCCTGGGAAGCCGGCCATCAGGCAGTCCACGCTGGCAAGGCAGCCAGAGGCAACGGCCCACATTAGAGCCGTTCCTTAACGCGACGCAGAGTCTAGAGATATCTAGAGTCTAGGTTCAACTAGGCACAGTCGTGGCTTGAAGAAGGCCGCTGCACGTTGCGTTCAGGACTCTACCGTTGCAGCACTGCGCATTGATATCCAGTGCGATCCTGCAAAGCGTGGTCACTTACAGAAGCCTCATCACCCGGCCGCAAGGTGGATGACAAAGATGAACAACTAGCTGAAGTACAACAGCGAAGCCCATCTTAAAACTCACATCGACTCGGGAAGCTAGAAAACTCAAAATCCAGGAAGCTGCTAAGCTCGAATGGACAGTTATCAGACCCTGATCACCTGTTTCTTCAAGCTTCTTCACAAATTTCAAGATGAATGCCCCTCCCAAGTCCTGTCACTTGTGCAAGCGAATTCCAGCAGGGTGCAGAGACAGAGATGTGCCGGGCTCTCCGAGTAGGCACCTCGCTTTTCAGGCAGTCGAGAGGCACCAGCTGGACATTCTCAAGCCCCTCAAGCTGCCCACCTCGCTCGGCCAGCATCATCAGCACCTGTTTCGCGGGTCTATGAACTTGCAATGCTGCTTTTTCACAGGAGGCTGAGACAACGGCAGTTTTGCCCTCGTCATTGCGAGCATTGAGCACGCTCAAGGACATGGGCAGCACTTTCTCAAACCTCTGCTGGCACTGGGAAGACAAAGCCGCTGCAGCCAAAGCCAAGTCCAAGAGTCGTCTCGGGAGAGCCACTCAGTGCAGCCAGCATCAGGCTGGAGAAGCCACGAGAGTCAAGAAGATCCTTTGATGCTCGGGGCTAGGGCTACGGAACCTCCCCTCTGTGGCACACCACACACTGCAAGCTGGCTGCTCGCGTTGCGGAGCCAAGTTGCTGTTACGATGCCTTCTTTCGCGAGGATGCAGTCGACTACCTACAAACCACTGCTGACCATCTGACATCCGCGATGTTCGTGGGTTAGCTCCATGCAGGTCTACTGCCGAGTATCGCCCCTCAAATGCGCGAGAAACTGTGGCAGAGCATGATCTGCAACATACCCTCCTGAATCTCCATGAGATCCAACGAGCGCAAGGTTGCATGACGTCTTTCCCTGGTGACAGTGACATCTTACAGGGAGCCAGGCCTCAGCAGCCCCCGAACTTGCAGCTTCCATCCTCGAAAGTTGCAGATCAGCTCAGCTGTCGGACTGGGACTCTGTCAAAGCCGAGCCACAGTGCACTGCGGTTCGTTGCAGACAAGGCGTTGATGTCCTCAAACCGGGAGCAAGCTCGTGATTCAAGAGGCAACTCTTAGGCAGGACACATTCGGCACTCGAAATCCGAGAAATCATGCTAGGAACACCGAACGCCAAGCTTAAAATCTTCAGCCAGGGATCCACTCCCGGGTGCGCCAGCAAGCGCTCGGTCACCTCACGGCTGCCCCTTCGGGCGGCCAGGTGCAGCACCGTCTCCTCGTTGGGACTCCGCAGGTCCACGGCGACCCTGGCTCTGGCGGCAAAAAACTAAAAAATCCCTGGGCTTTTTGTTGACCGTCACGCCACGTCTTCCACACTTGATATGGAACACTGTATGCGATCCCACTCAGGGAGAAGTCCAGTCCTGTGAGATGCGAGGAGCGCCAACACGACGTCGAGGTGATTGAAGATGATTGCCAGAAACAGCGCGGAGTTACCAGCGACGTTGGTCACGTTGGGCTCCACGCGGTCGCACCTCTGACTCAAAGAGCCAACATCACAGATCTGTGACGCTCCGGGGCCCCCACTGAAGCAAGCTGGGAATGACCTGTGCTCGCCCGACTTCTGCTGCCACCATGATGGCCGTCGCACCGGACAGATCCCGCTGGTTCGCATCCACGTTCTCGTAGCTCAAGAGAAGACCTCTGGGAGGGATACAAAGTCGTTGGTCTTAGATGTGCCAAGACATGTTCCTCCTGTTGCGATGAGGGCCTGCGATGTCGTCCTCGATGTGGAACGGCGGCTCTCTGCATGCATAGTGCCTAAGCTCCAAACCGCAGATTTGCATGCCCTGCTCATGTTCTGCTTTTCCGGCCAATGCGCAAGATGTCCTGGAGCAGTTGCTCTACGCGTCTTGTTGCTGTTGTGGCAACCCTCAGATTCTCCAAAAGAAGGTTCAAATTGCAAACCGTCAAACTTATAGCACGATACCTTTGTAGATGTATTTCGCACACCAGCATATTTGAATGAACATCCACAAGTTGTCAAGCTTGTTCGTAAACCCGTTGAGGTCTGAAGCTGTTGTGGTTCCTTGCTATTAGCGGGCGGATATGCCCGGACGAGCACGCGGCTTAGGTTTGCTGTCGGTTTGGTCCTCGACGGCTAGGCTTCAGCTATGATGGCTTCTCAACGAAACTGCACATAAGCCAGTGCAAAGTTTGACCAGAAGGGGCAAAAGGCAAAATCGATAAGAGACAGACACGAAAAGAGACAGCTGCATGTATGGTCTCTTGAACTATGTAGATGCATCCTGCGCTGTTCCTTTCAAAGACCTAGAGTGCAGAACTGGTGCCTACGGGTCACAGAGGTGTCACGCCGTGGTCGTCCGCGAGGTTGGGATCCGCCGCCCTCTCCATCAGGAGCCGAATGGCCTTGGCACTTGGTTTCAGCAGCTCGGGTCAGAATAACATAGATCATAGTAACATAGTAATAGAAAGAGCAATATTGCTAGTATCAATAGCAGTCAATGCTGGAATTAATACGTATTTTATTAACACTCATCTCCATCCACCACGGAGTGCAGAGCTGTCGGGACTTTGGAGCGATGGCAAGCAGCAGCCGGAACTGCTCTCTCTCTCTCTCTCTCTCTCTCGGTGCCTCGACGCGTCCTTCGTGCGCTGCGAAGCACAGGGCCGTCATGCCCCGATCATTTCGGGCGTTTACATCGGCATCTTCCGCTTCCAGAGCCTCGGACGCCGCAACTTACGACGGTACGATGATTGCGGAGAGCACTCGCTGCCTGCAGCAGCAAGTCCACTTGCCCGAAGCGCGCTGCTGCATGAATTACAGCCTGCGACACTTCGTTCAAACGGGCG